TTCACCGAAATCTATTTAAAGAATAGCATAGGTTAAATGTGTTTACCACTCCGTACTCATATATGGTAAACACCTACTTTCCGGACTTGTAAAGTAAAATAAATTTTTGCTCTTAAGTGATAGATTATTCCATTTTAATAATGCCAAGCTAAAGAAGGAAGTCTGTGTTCTTTTACTGACACCGTTCAAATATAAAACACGTTTGAATAATCAACCTACGGAGCGGCCTACTGCAAAATTCTATTTACTATCTTAGTTCTTGGTTGGCCTGCTATAATATGACCAAAAAATGCACTAGTTAAAATAAACAAACCATATATTTTTGTTGGTTAAATGGTCGCATACAAATTAAATCATTAATTTATTCTTGCACACTATATTTCGGAGGCTATTCAACTACGCATTTCAATTCCGAAACCTGTTACAAAATGAATATGGGAATGTCTAATTAGACAACCAAAGGTACAACGGAGAAACATGTCCCCTGCAGTTTCCAATATTGTGTCAAGTTGTTACCGAATTTCGTGTTATTTCTGGGGTAAATTATTTCGGTGAGACAAATCTTTGCGGGAGTCAACCCTCCTGGGCCCGTGTCCGCACAGTGACTCGGGTGGCGCGAGCGATCAGCTGATGGTCAGCTGTTCAGGTAAGTACAATCTGGAAATTAACAATTGGACACATGTTTAGTATTATCTTTACTGGGTTTTGTTTTATTATGTTGCCAATTAAGATGGGGACACAGCTTGACGTATTTAACCCAAATAAATATGAGTGCAAGAGTGGAATGGATTGAGATTCATTGTGCAGCTTTAATTGTTACTGACTAAGATAATCTGTTAATTTAATCAGTACTTTGATTGTTAAGCTTCTTATATGTTATTAGGTTCGTTCCTAGATTTTAAAATTCAACGATTAAAAATTCGTTTATGACAAAAACTAGTATCGTAATTTTACGACATCAAAATCAAGTAGAATTACTACAACGACTAGATTTGTTTATTCGTATATAAATGTTTAAATTACGTCACTAGCCCGAATGTAAACACGTTTGTATTATTATTTGAATGGAACTGTAAATAAATTCAAACCAATATGTTGATGTTTTAACATTGATTTTGGGCCAGAAACGTAAGTTGTTTACGTATGATCCATACCGCATCTGTTCTAGTATTCGTGCGTTATTGTAAAAGGACCAACTTATAATGTTTATTAAGATTATTTCAAACTCGTTAACAAATTTAAACGAATTACATGAATTAAAATAGTAATAAATACAAAGAGACAATTTAAAAGGAATATAACCTTGATACTATTAACAAGACTCTAATGGAGATTATCAAATAAGACTGTGTTATCTAGGTTGACTTCTTATCAAGGTTCTGCAATGATATGTTAGTATGGGGGATAGTATAAATGAAAGGGAATTTTATAATGACACTTGTTATCAAGGTAACACTAATAATTTAACTACCTTGCCTATAAACTATTAACTTATAGCTTATATGTTCTTCATGTACTTCGACACTGCCGACCTATGATTTTTATGTTATGATACCTAATAATTTGGAATAATAGACATAAGCATTTTTAAATCTTCCGCCAATGTTTTCATTCAGTGCTGTCGTTATATTTAATTTCTCAAACGCATCTACTTCTGTATTTGTTTTTGAACAAACATTGCATTGATAAAAGAATTGTTTACGTACTTTTCGTCGTGACGTTTTTGGAACCTTTAGTAAACAATCAAAAACTGTTCTAACTACTATAAGTGCGTTGCTAGTATTATAAAATACTTTTACTGTACATCAGTATTTTATAATTGGAGAAATTTTAGTAAATTCCGTTATTTGGTCATTAAAATCATATGAAATAAATTAGTTGCAAAACCTGAAAAAAACATTGGGATCAACTTTTTACCAATAAAATTAATGTTTTTCTCAATTTCAAAAGAGGAACTATTCGAAAATAGAATTCTAGATAACGTTGCCAACTTGCACACAATAAAAACTCGTTACTTTTGATAGCCCCCAGCTGTTTATCGAACTTAGAGGGCAGAAATCTGGTTATAACCGGTTTAGGGTCACAATGTCAAAGGCGACAGAACCAGTTCTCGTGATATCACAGTGCTTCTGAAGTCCAGCTTTGACTTTTTATGTGTTTTTACTCAGCTTTGCCAGTTGTAATCATCAATTAAATTGTTGAACCAGTTTCTGTACAGATCTTTGTTATGTAAAATCTGCTGGGACAAAAAATGTTAGGGGAAAAAACCAAGATTGTTGGTTTTTAATGATTTTTGAGTGTGAAAAGTGTGAATAAAAGGAATGTATGTGGTATAAAAATTGTGTGAAATAAAATGTTAAAAACTTTCCAATCAATGCTTTAATATTATCATCCAATGAGAGCTATGTAGTATTTGTGATTGTGTGTCTATTTACTATTTTTTTTTCTTAAGTTAATCATAATCTCGAAAATTATATTCTTAAAATTTTAAGTATAAGTTTGACGTTTATTCATTAACCCCAATTAGCATTTAGCATCCCAATTGACCCAATTTATACACTATGCAAACGTCCAATTATTTTAACAAGAAATAAAGGTTAAACACATTATTCTTTAATCAGCTATACAAAACTCTTTGTACCAACAAAGGATGAACGAGAAAACTTTTGATCACTCAAAGTTAGCAAGTAAAATTGTCATAGAAATTTAACATAATTGAATTTATATTTATTTATACATATAATGTATTAATGAATAATGTTTACAAAATAAAAAATGAAAACAAAGTTACTCTAATTAGTGTACTTGCTAAATATTGGGGAAGGGGGTCTTTTACCTATAGGCCTAGCTTTATGACAACACTGGAACATTGAAAACCAATGTGGTGATTCGAAGTTGGATTTTATTGCAATCCACAAAATACTCATACAGGGAGTAAGGGTTTTCTAGTGTCAGATTATTTGTATAATTAATTGTTATTTTGCAGTATATTTATCAGCTGATCACCAATGTCGTCCGACGAAGTGGAAATGGCTGACGAGGGAGCTAAGAACAGCTGTTCTACTACTACCACAATAACGGACCAGGTAAAATGTTTGAGGGAAAACAAATGATAAGGTTATCAAAAATCTCAAAAAAACTTCCTTCTGGTTTTGATATTGGGCACACAAACAGCGGTTTATTACACACACAGTATGAATTACTCCACCAAACACAATATAAATGCACATTTTATTACGGTACTAAAATCCGTTTAAATTTCAATTTGTCTATAATTTGGTAAAAGAGTTTACAGTATTTGTAGAGAAATATAAAATGCAACTAAAAAATAAACAAACAAAAAATTATATAAAGACATTTTTTATCGGAACTTAATTCTAACTTAATTCAAATCAGCTGACGAATTTTTTCAACCAAAATGTTTATATTGTTTAACTCTATATACTCAAAATTGAGAAAATAACTACTTTAGCCCCACACAAATGTATTAAAAACTTTTCTATTTTATTTTTAGATTCTACGAGTTGATGATGTATAACAAAATCAAACAATTTTAAATTTTATTAATTTCATTATTGTTAGTTAAGGGTTGAATTTTTTATCGCAACAATGAGATACAAATTTTATTTACCACTAATGTATTTGTCAGAGAAAATACTCATTTATTTGACTAATATTGGTCATTAAAAATATATATGTAAGTGTACTCTCTTGTAAAATACTGTGTAATCTTAATTAGATCATAAAAATACATAAAAAATACACTATGATTGAAATTTAATTTTTTAAATTAAATGTAATATACAAAAAATGTCTTCATAAATTGTAAATTTTAGTACAAATTGCAAAATCCAGAGTATACGATCTGTTCAGAAACATTGCTTTCCTGGTTTTTACGAAAATGTCTGATATTTAGGTGTATCAAGAATCATTACGTCAATAAATTGTTGTTAATTGTTACATCATCAACAAAGTCACCGGTTTCTCAACCTCCGATAGCAGAAGTCATGTACAGTACAGCTGTACATGACAGATGCTGGTTCACTGATCGTTTCAAAAAAATCCCACAAAGTGAACAAGAAATACCCCACTTATTTATCCAAAACTACTGGTAATACCAAAACTATAGGTAATTGTTTCTAACTGATTTATAGCTCCCTCTTTGTTTTTTTTATGCTAAGTAAATACCGAACGTAATAAATGAACAATCATATTTTATCTCCAATAAATGTTGTACTTGTTTCTAAATTAATTAAAACTCTGTTTTAGCAAACGTAAAATAAATCCAAAACGTAAACAAGAAAATTCCCTCTTTATCCCAAACAAATTTCTACTTGTTCATAATCTATCTAAATGGGCAAGGATGTTTCTTTAAAGCCTTTTTTCCAGCTTGTGTGCCTCGCATGGAAAATCTACGCATACTGTGGGAAAGATATTTTCCTGTAGATGTGCAGAATACCTTTATAAATTAAAATAGGCTAAAAAATAAGCACAAAAAATTAATTTAAAATAAAAAATAACATGGACCTTATGGGTTGCTTTGCTGGGGACTAAATAACAACGCAATATCAACAGAAAATAAAAAAAAAATGGGAGAAATTCCAATTGCATGTTCTATTTACAGCCCATGATGAAAATAGAGAAGTCTGTACATTACATATTTTTGGTCGAGTTTTCAACCACTGTACGACCTCTAGTTTAATTAATAACCTTGTTGGTGAACATAATACAAAACATGTGTTTAATTAACACATTTAATATTCATTTTCTAAAACTGGTATATTCTTATTGGGAAAATCATTACCTTCTTAAATTTTTTACTATTTTGATTCATCCCAAAGCTGAACAAATATCCAATCGCTGTATAAATCCCCAAAGTCGTTTTATGACACACACTGAGTTGAGCCCCCCCCCCCCTTCACACAATCACTAATCGGTTTGGTTTAAGACCCCCTGTGGAGCTGAATGTCAGTCAGTTGTTATCTGTTTCTATAGCTATTCACTACTGCTACTGCAATCTTCTTACAACAATGGTTATCCTATATGCTTCTAGAGTTCTGGTAATTGATCTTTTTACTTGTTAATTTAATATTTGTATACAAATAAATAGAATTGCTTAATTTTTTCATTAGAGAAATGTTGGAACAAAACCTTTTCTTGTTTTTGTAATCAACCAAATATGTTTGAAAATAATGATTGCACAAGTTTCTATAATCAGAGATTATTTGTTTGGTTTGAACTTTTAAAAATTCTCTGATCAACTAATCTCAATAATTTTGTAAAACAAGTTTTAGAATTTACAAATTAATTTAAAAAAATAACTCTTATAACCAACCAAATGCCTTTGTGTTATCAGAAAACATTTCTTATGCAGTACCTATCTAAAATAATTTGCATTAGGTACTACATAGCAATTACTTGGGCATACTGTTTTTTATTTTTTTTTTTTATTATTAAGTTATTCTAATTACAATTTAGTTAGTAAAAGTTGAATGGGATTCATAGTTTTTTCAACAAACCGAAAAACAAACTATAGGCAAATAATATAATTTTATAAATAATAAAAGCTAGGTAGGTAGTTTTCATAAATTACTTCATTATATTTTTTAATGAGTAATTTAGGGGGGAAACATTTAAAATTTGTGATTTCTAATAATGAATAACCAAGTTAATAATTTATTGTCATTAAGAAATTACTAAATGAATTAATAATTAGGAAAACTATTTTTTTCCAGGGAAAAATTGTAGATAATAATTTATAATTTCTGAAGTATTGGTAAAATGTCTTGTAAAAACTTTTTAATATAATATTATCAAACACTTTACAAATAGTTACTCCAGGTGTTTTTAAACCATCAAACAGTGCTTGTACTAATTTTACTCTAATTATTTTCAGGATGAAAACGGAAGTCAAATCACCACAGAATTTCAGCCTCCAGTGAAGTGTAGGTAAGGGTTGATGCAGAAGTACAAACATTTGAGATTTTATCTTAGTTAGCTGGCAGTTTTCACCCCATAACAAATTGAAACTCCAATTACTACCTCATATGACCAATTATAATTTTTATTTTTTTATTTTAATTAACTCAGCTTATTTGGTTTTTTACTACACTCTAAAATCTAAATGAATACCCCATGAAAATGTCTGATAAAAAGTTCTTATCAAAATATTAAAATTACTATTGATAATTTATGAGGCTCTTATTTGTAGGAGACCCTGTTTGTAAACGGTCATATTTTAACCAAAATATGAATGAAGAATATAAAGAATGAAGGAACGAAGGAAGTGTAGAATAGAGTAAAAACCTTGTGTAGATGACTTACATACCTTGCTATTGTATTGTATGTAGGGCCTGATGATTAAAATATCTCGATTTCTTGTAGTTTTGTTCCTGATAAAGACCAGCTATTTCTTTAACAAGGTCCATTTATTGATCAAGGACAGCAGTTTCAAGCCATCAAATAGTTTACTTTTCTCGGGATTGAACTGGTTACCTCTTGATTACCAAGCGAGCCGAGCACTGAATTACACTGCAATGAGCACTGAAGTAGCCAAATGACTTCTTAAAAATGTGTCGGTTTTTTTTCACCTCATACTTTTGACATTCATAAGTGTTAGTGTTTCATTCTTCATTGTTATACGTTTTACAGGTGGGTAAAGTGCGGAGAGTGGTTTCCTAACCTCAACAGTCTAGCGGCCCATGTCAGTGAGATCCACGCAGTCGCTGGATGTGAAGGACTCTTCTACTGCCACTGGGAAGGCTGTTCTCGGAGTCACCGAGGGTTCAATGCGAGGTAGGTTGGGGAGTCTATGGAAAACTTAGACTAGGAAACGGTGAAGGAGTTGCAATACATTTTTATATGTTAGAGAGGATCGTTCCGTGTAAGAACAGGTAGTAGGAATGTTTACTTTTTGTTTACAAAGTAGCGTAGGAATTTTTGTCAATCACTCGGTACAGAGAAAGTAGCAATTTAGTAATAACAGCTGATTTTGAAGAATAAATTGTTTCCCAAGCTTTAAGAGCAAGGGAAACTGATCAGCTGATTTGCCCTTGCTCTAAACTTAGTTTCCTCTGTTCTCAATCAGTCTTATTTGCACACTATTTTCACTTAGAGTTTCTGGACCATTTATTTTTATAATTAGGATCAACTGTTTTTTTACTGATTAACAATATATAAACTTTCAGTTTTTATTCTTCATTTGGGTTTTTCTTTTTGTGTTGTGATGAAAAGCATCAATCATAACTTATACCGAAAGTGGGCTCCAATTATTATTCACTCACAAAACTGATATAAAACTGGAACCTTGTTCACAAACCTATTTTCTTTTAATTTTACAACCTATCTCAATTACTGTTTTTTTTTTTTTTTTTAAGCCAGAACAATATTTGCAAAAAATATATTAAATATGGTCCTACCTTTTGAACAATGGAGGCTGACTATTGATATCTTCCAACTGAATGAAAAATAAGCTTTACACATAATTGAATAAACCTCAATAAACATAAATTATATTACAGGTACAAAATGTTGGTCCATGTTCGGACACACACAAACGAAAAACCACATCAGTGTACAGAATGCAACAAGAGCTTCAGTCGAGCAGAGAATTTGAAAATTCACGCTCGATCACATACAGGTAAAATTATAAATTGTGTTTGCTTGCAACTATAAAAAAAAAAACCTTAATGTAAATAAACGTCCATCTAACTTTTTTTGCACAATGGTCCTGAAATATCTAGTTAAAATGAGAAATATCTAATCCGGACACAGCCAAAACACTGAATGTCTTGAACACTAACATTTGGTGGTCCAAGTAACTTAGCTTTCTCCACTGTTTTGAACTTTACTTTGTGTTTGTATTTTTAACACACTGCACAGAACTACAAAAAAAGCTCTCGCCTTAAAATTTTCAAATAATTCCCTACATATTTCAAATTTATCTGCAAATATTGCTTAGCTTTCACATGCAATGATAGCTAAGCCAAATTTATGATTCTGCGTCAATGTCAACTAAACTTTTATGTGTTTTCAGGTGAGAAGCCATACGTGTGTCCAGTCCCTGGCTGCCACAAAGCATACTCCAACTCTAGCGATAGATTCAAACACACTCGCACTCACTCCATCGACAAACCCTACACTTGCAAGGTGCCTGGGTGTAACAAACGCTACACAGACCCGAGCTCCTTACGGAAACACGCCAAAACGTACAACCATTTCATACTGTCTCAACGTTCACTACCTCGTAAGTATATTTACTATGAGTCAGCTGATCTCAATTGCTAACATTCTTACTTAGCCATAACAGGTTGAAATACACTGTAAAATCTTCTAAAAACCAAGATTTCACAGTCTACGTGGGAAAATATGTACTCTGAAAAGTTAAATGAGTAACACTGGTTCCAATGGATATATTAGGTTGTAATTTTGGGTGGAATATATTTACATATACACAAGAGCTGGTCTCGTTAATGTTTAACGTTAATCTTTTGTTTGTTAACATCATATTAAGAGCCAAATGAAAGATGGTATCTTGGTCTCAGCTAGGGACAGAAACAGATTTGAGGTTCAAAGGCAACCTATATGACTTTGCTATCCAAACCAATTTTTGATCCATAATCAATAATTTTTCGTTAAATTATCTCACTATTATCATGATACAGAGCAAGAAATTCACCAATAAAGGTATCTTTATTATATTTTTTTTGCAGAGCACAACCAACAAGAGAACCAAGAGATTAGAGGGAGGAACGAAGAAATGCAGACACAAGACAAGACTCTCCATATAGACTACATAACGACGCAATTCCCGACGGCTTGGCTACAAACATGGAGTTGGGGAAGAATGGAGGAACAAGACGCACCTTTGGATCTGACTGTACACAACTCTTCGTACCACTAGGGTCGAGGCTCAGGGATGACCAACAAACCACTGTGCCTTACGACACATGTTTGATTATTTCTCAAGAATTAGATTAAGAATTGCTGACTGATCTGTCTAGTCAATGTATTTTATTTATTGTTAGATTTTGTTTGTTTTGTGTGTCTTGAAAGATCATGTGTTTGTTCTTTGAAATGCGGTACTGAAATTGTAAATAATTCATGTTTGTTATTTTTCTACGTTGTTGTTTTATAAATTAAAATGTTAATATGAATTTTCTTTTTTTTACTATTTTAATTTACATTATCCTAGTAACTCTTATCACATTGAAGTTTGGATGTGAAAGCGAGCTGGTCCAGAGGTAGAGCGCAGGACTTTGGTCCTTGAGGTCTCAGGTTCAAATCCCGCCATTCACCAATTGATTTGATCTAAGTGATGGTACCATGAACCTCTAAGCCTACTTTGAAATAACGTGAAAATGGTTCTGGGAGAGCCTAGAGCCTAGCTTCCTACAATGTAATGATGGGACATAAAAAAACCAAGTTTGGGTGTGGTCATTTTAACTTAGTTTCAGTTATAAGATAACAAAACTCAGAAGCAGTAACTTGATCCACACAACACTCTTTAATTATTTTTATCTCTTATAAATGCTGTGAATATTATTGATTGATATTTTTAGAAAAAATCTTAAATCAGTTAAATTAACGGACATGCTGCCATGATATTTTCTCAGAATGACTAAAAATCCGTGTTTACTGGCCTCATGTAAGCGTGGCTTAAGCAATGGATGTGTCTTTAATTTGATGTTTGTTAGTGATGAACAAGTTAGGTCAAAACAATTTTTTTTTTTAATTTCACAGTCATGGAACAAATACATGGAAGTTTAAGAAACTTGTATAGTTTAATATTAAAGAAATACATAAATACAAATAAGTCTTAACCTCTTACAACTAAGTTAAACAAGTAAGAGGTAAAAGGTTAACTTTCACGGAGAAGGGTTGAGAATCCTTCAGTCATGGTTTTCAGGTCCTTAAGATCCTGATTGACCGTCTGCACTACTTGTTGCATTGCGTAATGTTGCTCCAGGAGGAACTGAAACAGAAATAAACATTTGTAAACAAACATCTTTAGTCTGTATAGAGTTACAGACTATACCTGTTAGATTAGAGGAAAATCACCATAAAAATCAAATTCAAATTCAAATTATCTTTATTTATATTATGTACAAAACGTACAATAAATAGTGTCAAGCTTATAATTACTATGTACAAATACTTAACCTAAACAAAAAATACAGAAAATAAAACTATCTATAGCTGTATACATTCATAAACAGTTCATCTATTGAGTAAATGGGTTTTTCTATCAAAAATTCTTTAAGTTTTTGTCTAAACTTTTTTTATCCTTAATATCTTTTATTTCATCTGGTATTATCTTTAAAAACTTTACACCGGCATATGAGGGCTTATTTTTATACATTTCTAAGTTGTGTTTCGGTAGAACTATATTATTTTTGTTTCTAGTGTTGTATTGATGGGTTTCACTATGTGTTTTAAATTTTTCCTGGTTATGTTTTACATGTATTATACATTCGAGTACGTACAAACTAAACACAGTTAATATTTTCAAATTGACAAATTGTTGCTTTACAGACTCATTATAATCTAGATTTAACATTATTCTTATTGCCTTTTTCTGTAAAACAAGTATCTTATCTAAATTTTTCTGGGAAGTGCCTCCATACACTACTATTGCATAAGATATACAGTGTGTAAATTAAGTATGGAAACAAATCTGTATTTTTAAAACCGAAATAGATAGAAATATTCTATTTGTGGCAATAATAGTTAACAAAGATTCCGCAATTTTTCACATGAAAAATATTTTTTTACCCCCCTAACAGGGTAGGTGGTAGGGGGTGACTTATTTTTTTCAAATAGCAACCCCTATTGAGTGACCCCTCATTTTGAAGAGTTTGTCAAAAGAAACACAATGACGCAAATCCGAGGTGAATATCTCACTCCTAGCCCAAATGGCGGATATTCCAAAATTTGATTTATTGTACGTGAAAAGCACCAATTTCACAAATAATGGAAAGAAATCTGTATTTTTAAAACCGAAATAGATAGAAATATTCTGTTTGTGGAATTGATTGTTGACATAGGTTCCGCAATTTTTTTAATAAACAATATTTTTTCAACCCCTTTAACAGGGTAGGGGGTGGGAGTGACTTATTTTTTTCAACAACAACCCCTATTGAGTGACCCCTCATTTTGAAGGGTTTGTTAAAAGAAAAAGAATGACGCAAACCCGAGGTAGATATTTCACCCCTAGCCTAAATGGTGGGTAATGAAAAATTTAATTTTTGTAAAAAAAGCCCATTTTGGAATATCCGCCATGTTAGCTAGGAGTGAGATATTCACCTCGGATTTGCGTCATTGTGTTTCTTTTGACAAACCCTTCAAAATGAGGGGTCACTCAATAGGGGTTGCTATTTGAAAAAAATAAGTCACCCCCTACCACCTACCCTGTTAGGGGGGTAAAAAAATATTTTTCATGTGAAAAATTGCGGAATCTTTGTTAACTATTATTGCCACAAATAGAATATTTCTATCTATTTCGGTTTTAAAAATACAGATTTGTTTCCATACTTAATTTACACACTGTATGTGATTGGATATGGGAATGAAAAACTATTTTTAATGTTGCTAGGTCACTCAAATAAAACATTCTTTTCAAGGCATAGATTCCAGAATTTACCTTACGCACAATGCTTCCTACATGATGATCCCACCTAAGACATTCATCAATATGGATACCTAAAAATTTTGTACAATCAATTTGATTTATTGTGTTGTTGTCAATAAAAATATGAGGGCTACACTTATTTTTGTTCTGCTTAGTACTGAAAGAAATAAAATTAGTTTTTTGTGAATTTAGCATTAATTGATTGTTTAAAAAAAAATCTTGGATTGGTGATAATTCTATATGAGCTGCTACTTCCAAATCCATCTGACATTTAGCAGATACAATAAGATTAGAATCGTCAGCATACTGTACGAGTTTAGAACTATATATTACATTGTTACCTAGACAGTTTGGCATATTCTTAACGTAACAAATAAAAAGCAAAGGTCCAAGAATAGACCCTTGCGGGACGCCATGCTTTATACTTTGTGTTGCGGAGGGAATTTTTGAAATTATAGAGTTGTTTATATGACTGATTTCTGTAAATTGCTGCCTGTTGGTGAGATAAGACCTGAACCACTGCAAAGGAGTTTTTTGAATCCCAAGATAATGCAATTTCTGTAACAGCCTTTCATGTGATATACTATCAAATGCTTTGGAAAGGTCCATGAAAATACCAGCAACACATTCTTTTTTGTCTATTGATTGTATAATTGATTCCGTAAAATTGATCAGAGCTGTGGTGACAGATTTATCTTTGCAAAAACCATGTTGTTCGTCATCTAAAAGACTATTTTGTTCTAAAAATAGCATAAGTCTTCCATGCATGGCTTTTTCAAAAACTGTTGAGATTGAAGGGAGAATAGAAACTGGACGATAATTTTCTACATTAAGTTCATCCCCTTTTTTGTAGATTGGTATGATTTTAGAAATCTTCAATTTATCCGGGAAGATGCCAGAAATGAATGATGAATTTATCAGGTGTAATAAAGGCTTTATCAATGGGATTTTTGAAAATTTTATAACTGTTATTGGTATTTCATCATATCCGTAAGAGTTTTTATTTTTCAAAGAATCAATTACTTTAGCCAATTCGTCCTCATTAAGTGGATTGCATCGGAACACTTTTTGTGGATTTAACAAGTTATTTGTCAAAGTCACGGGCTGTGCTGGAGGCAAATCCTCAAGTAAATTTTCAATTACATTTACATAATAGTCATTAAAAATCTTACTAACATGAGTTGGATTGGAGACCAGTCTACCATCAGATTCTATTACAATATTTTCACCAGATTTGATTTTTTTATTTGCTACTTCTGAGTTAATGATTTCCCAAGTTGTTTTGGAGATGTTATTGGAGTTTGCAATTTTGTTTTGGAAAAATTGTTTCTTTGCATTTACTGAATTTATTTTGAACTGCCTATTTCTAGTTTTTACTTGTTTATGAAGTTCAGTAGACTTTGTTCTTCTTGCCTGTTGGCTAAGTTCTACAATATTGTTTTTTTTTTCAAAATTTAACAAAAACAAAAAATACTGGTGATACCAGTGCCAAACCAAATGTAATCCAAATTAAACCAGGTGTAATATGTTCTGCAAACATCTACATAAACACACAGACGTCACTTCCAAAACCATATTTAAGGGGACCCAAAATGTATTTTCCAACAAATGCAAATCTAAAAACTTAGAAAAATATATATTAATAGAAGGGTCCTATAGTTTAGAAAGTGATTTTAAAAAATTGCACACACACTTGATTATGTCTAGCAATAGCAGTTTTTACACATCCCGTCTCACAAGGACCAATTTCAATACGTGTATTAATGTCCTACCTGATGTATTTCCTCCTGAGCATCAGGATCCATGGAATATCTCTCTGAGGGAGCCTGGCTGGACTCCTGTCTCTGCATTCTCATCAAAGACAGCAGCTCATTCAACCTTCCCTGAATAACACAATCATGATCAATAAGGCTTATCGTTGAATCTGAATTACTTAAATGATCGACGATGTGATTTCCACTGTAATCAAAGACACTTATGATTCTTGGATTCTGATTTTCAATTAAGAATCCTATATGTGTCAGGATGTTATTCAACTGTAGCGGTGTGTATCCATACTGATATTTTTCTGGATGAAATTAAATTAATGACAAACGTTTAGCGCATGCAACAGCAGATATTCCTTTGATCAACATATTATAGAGTTACATTTACAAAAAAGATTATGATGGTAAAGCAATTGAATCTTACAGAAAAATAAAAATCTTTAACTTCATCACACTTTACTGTGCAGTTTACCGCCATCTTGGCTGCATTTGGGTGGCAAGCTCGCCAAACAATGAGTTTTATCTAATGATTTTATCTAATGAAATAATGCAGCAACCCTCTAGGTCTAGCCTAAAGTAATATGTAAAACGGTAACAAGTGATTGAAGATAAGCATGTCTTGACTGCATCATTTACTACCATCAAACCATTGCAAAACCCCCCACACAAACTAAAGCGATGCAGATTTCTTTGTAGAAAGATGCAAAGTACAGCTGCTTCTAAACAGAATAAACAGATATCGATATGATACCTTGAACTGGGCGGGTGTATTGACTTGAGAATGAAGAGCCTCCAGTTGGCTGCGTAAAGCTTCCTCCTCGGGTCTGAGAGCGATTCCTACGTTACGAGTGGCTTCCTGTTTTACCAGCACCTGTCAGACAATCGAAAATGTTAGACGAACTTAAAAATTATTTTTACTGATACTTTAAACTAGTATTACTTTCTGAATAGCTCCACTTGTAAGGGTGAAATTTAAAAATATTTTTATACAATTAAAAGATAACTTTTTTACTACTACACCACTTTTCTAAAAAAATTTAATTGGGTCAATAATGTTGATGTTGATTTGTTGTGTTTATTTTTTAGCCTATTTTAATTTATGAAGGGATTCTGTACATCTACAAGAAAATATCTTTTCATCACTCCATTACGAAAGTAACTATTTTCGAAAACAGCTGACATCAATGAAAGTAGTCAATTCCCAAGCTCTAATTTAGGGCAAGGGAAAATCGATCAGCTGATTTTCCCTCGCACTAAATTTACTTTCCCTCGCTCTCAATTAGTTCTCCATTTATTCTCTACGCGCGCTAGTGTTTTGTTACGGTTTAATTTAATAATTTGAATCAGCTGTATGTATTGTTAAAAGTTGTTTCATTCTTTTATTTTCATGTTTAAACCAAATTTAATGAGAAATATACGTCTATGTTTCCTTTTAAAAGATTTTTTTTTTTTATGTTCAATAAAATTAATTGAGAAATAAAATAGTTGTAATATTGCTGAGGTCTGCTAATCAGTGTTTGTGTATTTTTGCGTCGTGATGAAAAGTATCGCTCGCTCATAACTCATACCGAAAGTTATTATCCGGCACTTGCTCCATTATTCCCGTCCTCGGCTTCGCCTCGTACGTGAAAATAGCTCTCACATACTCGGCTTTGCCTCGCATGTGAAATTGGGGTTCCCTGTGTGAGGCGAAGCCGAACACAAAAACTTGAGCGCGTGACGGAAAATGCCACTTTCGGTCCTAGTAATGAAATATGCTATTCCAACAGTATGCATAGATTTTCCCTGCACTGCACAAGAGCATAAACAAGGTTTTAAAGAAACATGCTTGCCTATTAATATATAGATAGACAAAGTCACACCTTTAAAATAAACAATGCGTTAAGATTCATTACCTTAAGCACTCTGTGTTCCAAGTCCATGACTCGCTGCTTGTACTCGGCAATCTTAGCTACCGTCTCAGAGTTTTGACGTTTCAATTCTGATATTTCACCAGATATTTTATCTAATACTGCATGGTGGACCTGGATTTCATAAACTCAATTACAATAAGTTCAATTAATTAAACAGTTTGATTGGGTTTGATGCAGAATCAAGCATTTGATTTTTAAGGCAATTTGGTTTTTGAGTGAACTGGAGTACAATTACAACTTAACAGTACAAACAACTAACTTTACAAGCATTACCATGGGTGAGTTAGATAAAATCTACAACCAATAGTGATGTAAAATACCCAGGTATTTAAAACTTGGGGTAAATACCCTGGGTATTTACCCGGGTAAATACCCAAAATCCATAAATACCCGGGTATTTTGGGTATTTATGAACGCAGAGGATACGCGTCCGGTAACCGGTAACCTGGACGTGGATTAGGCGTCCGGCAGTTACTGGCATAACCTAACCTAACCAACCAAACTTGCTGATAGTGAAAAAAATCAAATGAAGGTTTAATTCTCTTCATAACATAAAATTATAAATGCCAACAATTCTAACAAAAGATGTACAGTTAAGAAGAAATTACATTCAAAGCAAAATCTGTGACAAAAAGTTAAAGTTACCGATGGGTTTCGAACCGGGGACCTCTCGCATTTCAGTCGAACACTCTATCCACTACACCACGAACACTGATGGCTGAACATCGTATCATTGTGGTAATGGCGTTCCGGTACCCCCTACCGGACGCCTAATCCACGTCTGGTTACCGGACGCCTAATCCACGTCTGGTTACCGGACGCGTATCCTCTGTGATTTATGAAATCAATTGAAATTCATTTATATTTACCCCTAAATATGTTATTGTTATTACATGATAAATTAGCATAGTCTATAACACCTTTTACAGTAACTTGATGCTTTGCTCGCTTAATGATTTGGCACTTTTTTTAAATAATACATAAAGTTTCTAAATAAGCATGGGGTTTCGTGTCTTAAATCGAATAACATCAGTTAAATTTAACTCACTAAAAAATAGTATAATAGCATATTAAAAAAAGGCTGTGGCTATTTCAATTTTTATAATTTCATAAATTTATAACCAATTAAATAACATAAACAAAATTATTGTAATTTATAAATATCCAGTAACTGTTGGGTACTTATGATGCAAAATTTTTATTGTATAAATGGTTTGGAAGGCTAGATGACCCAAGGCCTGATTGACATAGGCAGAATGATAGAATACTTTTAAGTAATTAAACTTTTCTTTGTTACCACTTAGTTGGAAACAATAATATATTTGGATAAACCTACTAAAAAACGCATCTCCTGTTTTTTTGTTTAACTTAATATAATTTTGAAAGATTTATTGTACTATAGATTCAAATGTTTTGTATTATAAGTTTATGAAATTTGTTATTTTTTTTTATACCATTGATACCAACAAAAGATCTAGAACAAAAATATTATTAAATCCTGCCATCCTACAGATTGAATTTTAAAATTATTTTCTTAAGTTGTTTACACATAGGCTGCTACTAGGTTAAATTTTCCTGTCTTTCTAAATAATAATTATTACTTTGCAAATGATTTTTTTTTTCAATTTCAATAAAATAAATTCATCTATCTATCATAGAAATTAAAAAATCATAAGTAGTTAGGACCAGTGCAACCATGCGACCAGGGTATTTATGCCGAATATACCCAGAAGTAAAATGCCAGTAGTGACCATATGAAATTTTGTTTAACACATTTTATCATCATTTTACTATCCTAACAAGGTAATAATTGCAAAAAAACATCTAAATCTTCTCTAACTTTAATAAAAATTATAAATACCCAGTTTTTGGGTATTTACCCGGGCCTGGGGTAAATACCCGGGTAAAAACCCAATTTATATTTACCTACCCACTGGGTATTTACCCGGCCCACATCACTAACAACCAATATAAAGTAAATTTGGGTTGGAGAGCTGAATGCTTTGTAACAGCTTGAACAAAGGTTGTACATTTTAAGGCATTTCAGATCCCCATAATATATTTTCTCTCCTTTTTCTCCTCAATACATTTTTCATTTCTCAAGTTAACTCAATTTGTTCAATGCAATGACAACTCTATTTTTTGCATGTCCAATCCTCACATCCATCAATTTATTTAGTGTTTAGTTCCGATGCATCAGTCCCTATTCATGTACACCCTCCTTGTTTTGTTATTATTATTATTAACCTAACCTCGCACCTTGGTTTCATTCTCCTGACACTTGGCGCGCCACCGTATGTCGCTGAAGCCTATAATAGGAACAGGCAACAGCTTCTCTGGGTCTGGATTGTCTAATTGCGCTTGCTTCCAAAGTCGAGGGTCAATACCTGAAACATCACAGATGGTAGACTTAGACTATCTCTGATAATGAAAACCCGTTGAGGAACATGTCTCTTGGTTAGTCAGCTAAGAGTTACATCTTTGTATAGGATAGCTTAAAGATAGTGAAGATTGTAAGTAATTTAATCATTTTGGGAATTATGAACAAGAACTTAAATTTCAATCGGATTGAAACTTTGTTAGGACACAATTTAAACACTCTTAAAAAGATAAACCAATCAAACACAGAGGTTCCATCCTACTTTGGTATAGGCATAGACAAATAGAATGAATATAGACTGTCAAAGGAACGTTCCGGCGCTCACCACTATGAGTGCCATGTAGTTATGGCACACACCGCCGCAGGCAAGGAGCGCAGGAGCCGTATTCGACCAGCAGACGCTGCAGCGGTGTGCGCCGTAACTACACGGCAAAACTAGCGGTGGACACCGTAACTTATGCTAACCGCAGCACAGCTGACAGTCTATATTTATTATATTTGTCCATGGTATAGGCTACCAGCATCTTTTGAAACTTTGCCTATTATTAAAATCAGATGTATCAGAGAAATGCTAGCAAATAAAAACATTTTCATTCATTCAGGGAGCTTTCTAAAATAAGACATTTTAGGACTTGTTGAGTCTGAGGTTTTTGCCAAAGCAATCTCAACATCTAGAGTATCGGATGTGTTGCTTTCATTGTAGAAGACTCACCAGCGGGAGGGTTATCCAGATACTCCTTGACCTGGTCAGCGTCTGGGCCTTGGAAGCAGAAGACGTTCTCTACACCAAGGTTCATCAGCGTCTGACTCGGGCCCGGCGTACGCAGGAACTGACCCACCTCGGAATTCACCACTCGCTTGATCATACCTACAAAGTCAAATCATTAAAAACTTCAAGGTTTCACACTTAGCTTTCTAACTAAAAATTTTAGGTAACATTGAAAAATGTTTACCTACGACCGTTTTTTTAAGTATCCATTTCAGTTCAGTTCTTAGAATTGAAAAGTTTCACTTAACAGCTGTTTACTTTCATAACAGCATAGTTTCATTTCATAACAGCATAGTTTTTCTCATAACAATATGGGTAACGGACCAATGAGGTTCAAGGATTGAGAGAAAAGAAGTAAAATTGTAATGTTTCGAACGTCAACTAATCCGCTGATCAGTTGACAATTTTAATTGTTGATCCGACTTTTTCCTGTTGATACTCGCGTATTCTTAACCTAAGTTGGTGGAAGTTAAAGGAAGGTAGATTGAACTGATTTAAAAATGTCAGTTAGTGAAAGTGAAGTTGACGAGATTGAAATGAGAGCACAAACTGTTTGTAATTGTTGCGTAAACTACTAGGTATTAAAAAGGTGTTCTAAAACGGTTTTACCCATTTATTTAGTTTACAATTTATTTAATTAACTAAAAATAATTTGAAAAGGTGTTCAATTTATGTTTTTATAACTTATTTATTTTATTTATTATATAATTAACTATTTTCATTTACTATCAGGCCTAATTATTTTTTGGGGGAGCGAGCTGGTCTAGTGGTCAGAGCACAGGACGCCGGTTCCTGGGGTCCCGGGTTCAAATCCCGCCAAATCAATAATGGATTTATCCAAGTGATAATGCCGTAACCACTAGGACTAGCCTGAAGTAATATGAAAAACAATTCCAGGCTCGTGCCTAGCGTCCTAGAAAAAAAAAAAACAATTTTCATTAAATTTTCATTATTTTCTCCAAGACCCAAATACACCAGTCGGGTTTTCCTAGGCGCGCAAGTGGAGAGCGAACTCCACTTGTCTTAGGTAATTTAATGTTACTGTTTTCCTAGAAGCGGAGCGGAACACCATGTTAATCTCTTTTCCGCTCTCCGTGTTCCTCTCTACCACTTGCGCACCTAGGAAAATCCAGTTTTACCAAGAAATTAACATCAAGCTAATTAATATCTATAAACAATAACAGATAACACTAAAATAATAAAATAACTAGAATCATACATTAAACATACTCCATTAAAAGACAAATCTTAATGTTGGTTCTATCCAATGTCGTGTTTTTTAACAATGACAAAAAAAACTTGTTATTACAAAAATTAAAGCACAAATCATAGTTAACACTAAAATAAGTTAAACACAATTTTGTCTGTAGTACTCAGTGTCACCAACATGAAATAGACATAAAAAACAAGCTTTGGATTTTACAATGAGATGTGAAGTTTACTTGTTAGTTTGTCTTTGCTAGAACCCACCATTGGCAGCTTTCTCTTGAACGTAGAAGAGCACTTGCGTTTTCTCATCAGACATTGCTTTGATGGCCTCGATGGTGACTGTCAGGTTAGGTTTGTTCCCTAAGATGTTACTGATATTTGTAACAATCTGATTCTCTTCGTTTCTGAAAATAAATAGGTATGAATAAACATTTTTGGTGCAGCATTTATCGATTATATTAAAGCGTCCTCTATTCTTGTGAAAGAATGATTTGATAATTTTGAAATTGTGATTCAATGTTAGTACAAATGACTGATCATAAATTTGTATCCCGAAATTCCAAGCTCCAGATAATAATAACCAAGGACCAATAATAACAGCCAAGGGATAGGTTTTAACTTTTTAATATCCATTTAAAAATATTGGAAGATTTAAAGCCTCTCTACAAGTTATTTACCAGTAGCACATTTTTGCTTTTTTTCATAATGCCTTTTGACATGTTTATATTATTTTGTAGATTCTCTCTGCAATAGGCAAGTATGGTTTTTGAACTGGATTGACTTAAAATATGAAAAATAGCGAGATACTTTGTTGATGAGTTAAGGTCGGTGCAAAGAATTAGCCACAGCAATCGGTGAACTTTATGCCCCGTTTCAGATCTAGGTCGGCCATTAACCGCAGTATACCAGATTCAATAGTCCACTCTATTCAAAAGGAGCTATAATTATTTACTTTTGTTCAATAAATATTCATAACCCAATACCTAACATCAGCCTCTTTCTTCTTGAAGATGAGGGATACTATGCCATCCTTGGGCTCTGTGGAAGGTTTGCGACTGTAGCCAACGGACTTGAAGCGGCATAGGGGATTCTCTGGCGTGTATTCTGCCGGTGGCTGGCTGTTGTCATACCAACCTGGCAAACAAAACAGGTAAGTTCCCTATACTCTGTAGGTATCATATTCGTACACAATGTAGAATGGTATCTGCCTATTCCTAACAACTTTTCGGGAGTGAGCTGGTTTATTGCTAGAGAGGGGGACTTCGGTCCTCAAGATCTCGGGTTCAAATCCTGCCGATCACTAAGAAATTTGATCTAGTAACATATTTTTAGGCTAGAACCTAGGGTGCTAGGATGTGCAGGTGGGGCAAAATATACTCATCCCTCAGTTACAGTGGAGTTTGATGGTCGGTAGGAAATGTGGTAACTCAATAGCTACAAACTATACTCATCCTTCAGTTACAGAGGAGTGTGACGGTTGGTAGGGAACGTGTTAAGGTAGGCTATTAACTTCACTATCATTTTTTTGACTACAATACATGCATTTTTCTTCCACAAACCAACTAAAAACCAACACTGAAAAAAAAATTACAACAGCTAAAAGATGTACAAGTAGTCATTTAATGATTTTGCAACCACTTACGCCTTACCTTTTCCGACACCCCACAGTGCTTGCAGTAAGTTCCATCGAGCCAATACCTGGTCTCTCTCGTCATTAAAGATGTTACATTGGAAGACTGACCTATATATGGCCTCTAGTGGGTTTTGTTGTTGCTGCTGCTGTTGTTGTTGTTGTTGGGTCTGTCCAACTAAAAAAAAATCTTGAATTAGTTGAAGAATAATTGAAATTTTTTTAACATTTTCAAAATATTTAAATCAGCTCAAGAGTAGTTGAACATTTGGAAAAATCTTTGACACATAATTGGACCAATAACGTTTCTTGACATAAAGTAACTTATCAGTAAAATCTTGAATAGGCTACCGTAGTGAAAATTTGATCTTTTAGATATGATAATATTTTGTATTGGATGTTTATAACAAAATATAATTTCAATGTACGTACAGTGACTTGTCCAACAATAATTTACTACAAAATTAGAAGTTTCTGAAAATTAATTTTTAAATTCTATGGACATGAGATTAAATGTTCAAGGTAGGCCTAATATAAATACTAAAAAAATATTGTAGGCCTAAAAGAAACAAACTACTTAGGATAATTAAAGTTAGCTCTTAGTTTGAGGGACAAGTTTTTTTATTAGGCCTAGTTAATCTTTTTTTATGTTTAAAAACATACCTTGGCCAAAAGTTCCCAGTCCAGACGTCTGCCCAAATCCACCAAAGGTTGACTGGGTAGGCTGTGTGCCCAGGGGCTTTGCACCAAAATTACCAAATCCTCCGAATCCTAAAAAATTGGGGTAGGCTATTAAAGTTTATTTAAATGTTAAATGTGAACATTGTAATGAAAGAAATATTGCAATATTACCTGTGAGTCTAATGTTCAAAGCCTATACTACTCTAGTAGCCAGTGTGACAGCTATTCAAGAAACTGAATTTGTCTACGTCAAGATTCAAGCAGAATTTAAAAACTTAGTAGGAATTTTCAATATTTAAATCTAGGATTTAAAATGTACAAAAACACTGTTGTGATAGTGGGTTTTAAGCCTAACTTACCTGTGGACGTAGTGCCTGAGAGGGATGTATTTTGTTGGCCGAAACCGCCAGAGAACAATCCAGTTCCCGTTGTGCCAGTAGTGGTGGTGCTGCCAAACCCAAAACTGGGTGCAGAGGTGGTTGTGGTTGAGCCAAAGCCACCAAATGAACCAAAACCAGTGGCTGTAGAGGTTGTAGCAGAACCGAATGTCCCAAAACCACCTGAATCAAACAAAATTTAGAAACCACAATTTAGAGAAAATATTTTGAACATCATATGGGTGGGATAATGTAAAAACTGCCTTAAATTTCAAATTTTAAATAAAACGATAAAACATAACTTAGCCTAACTTACTTGTTATCAAAAATATTTTAACCCTCTCTCTGTTACGGGGTTTTCCGATGCATTTACACCATTTGTGCACATAACTGTCAAAGTTGGAATTCCAATGCATTTAGAAGCGATCACTTGAATGCTCACCTTTTGGATAACTTAATTTTAATAATTTCTGCATGATTTTTTCACTAGGCCTTTGATATTTTAAAGTAGAAATCATAAGCTTTCTTACAATAGGTACACCACTTTGAATGTTTGGCGACGAATGATTTTATTTTTTTTTTAGGCCTAATTAGCTTATTTAGGTAGCAGTGGGTGGATATACGATGTATTCAGCTGTCAGACCGGCAATGTAGGTTAGTGAGGTTAGTGTTAATAGTGTTAGGGTAAGACCATAAAAAATATTGTGTGTTTTTGAAAACTATTTTATTTCCTTAAGTTTGGCTGTATTAAACATTTTTCTCGGTTAAGTGGGATGAATTCCTGACCAAATGAAAACTTGCATTATGAAAATTGTTTATAAACAACTCAGGATTTCTATGCTGAAAATTGTTTTTAGTACCAGGTTAGTGTCATTGTTATTATATATTAGTATAGGTAGGCCTACTCCTAATGTTGGTGAACAAAATGATATACAACACCTAATTTATATTTATTCCTAATAATAAGTTTAACATTTTTTGAGAAAATGAACCCTGCAAAATTGCTTAAATCCGTGTGACATTTGAGGAACTTAATTGCGACAGAGAGAGAAGGTTAAAACCGACACAAGCCTTTTTACAAGTTTGCTTAGTGATAAAAACTGCTGGAGGTCATTCTACAGTTTGACACATAGGCCTAACCCTAAACTAACAGAGAGGATACAAACTTACAAAGAATGAAATCTATGAGATGTACCAGAAATGATTAAGCTAGTGGAAAAATTACAATAATTTAAGAGGTGAAATTGCCAAGATTATAGAAGTAACTTATTGGACTTAAAGTGTAAAAGGATCATTTACAACGAGCTTAGGTTGTCGTGCATGCAGCTTATGCTGTAAGACAAATACACTTCTCTAATTGTATTCCGTCTGAAATCATCACATTGCCGATGGATAGGCTTAAGCACAAATTGTTAACACCACAAAGATTCTCTTTAAAAATTCATGTAGGCCAACGGTTAAGCTTAAATATTTTTTATGTGCTTCAATTGTGAAATCCTATGATTTACCTGACTACATAAGGGTTGTTATTTGCGGTAGGCCTACACAGGCCTAACTGGTGACTTACCCAAGGATGTTGTGGTTGTAGGGTTGGATCCGAAGCCAAATCCAGTTGACGTAGTGGTAGTATTTGAGCCCAAGTTGAAGGATGGAGTACTAGCTTGTGGGGTTCCAAATGAAAGAGTGGACTGGCCAAACAAAGCTATAACATGAAAAAATATAACAATACCAGAAAGCAGACTAAATTTAAAAACGTTAGACCTAAGTAATCGCTAGGTAGTCCTATGATTATTAATAACCTGTAGATTATTTAAGGTAAAAATATCTAATATAAGAACACTCTAAGGAAATTTTGAACTCTCTTACGTTTGTTTGCAGTGGTATTTCCAAATGGTGTAGAAGTAGCTTGAGCTGCGCCAAACATAGGGGTATTCCCAACGTTAAAAGCCATATTCCTGTTTACGAAACAAACTTTTTATCCAGAATAAGTTAATGGTTATAGAATTTATAAGCACATTAAGCGATTCCGTAAATTGAGAACCAAGCACAGGGTTTTTCACGCATCAATCATTTACTTATGGAATAAGACGTATTCTAGTAGTTTTCGTTTTATTTATTTTAAATTAAGAATGAGGTTAAGTAACAGTGGTGCACAGACGTTCGGATCGGAGATCGGATCGGACACAAGCAAGCACAAGACGAAGACGCAAGGCAAGACGCAAGACGCAAGTTAGATCCAGTTTCAGTCCGGAGTCCAGAATTTACCTGTTTGCCAGACTGATTTTGCTATTTTCCCGCCAAACCCCGGCCGACCGAATTCACGGCCGCCTAAGGTGACCACAACAAAATCTTCACTTTTCACCATAGATTAAACTATACCCCTTGTTAGTGTAGGCTATTGCTATTACCATAGATAAAACACTTGAGGAGTATGTTTTATCTATGCTATTACGTTGTTACTTCTGGAACAAAGTGATGTCATTTGTAAAAAAAATGTTCGAATATTTGACAATTGAATAAGTATATACACCAAATAATAATTTGGTAGTTTGTAAAAGTATAACACTGCGTTTTAAAATTAAACTAAACCCCTAAAATATGATAATAATTTGCTAATCCTCAGCCCTTTATTCGTCTGATCAGCTATTTCACTAGCAAGGATCAATTATTTAAAGCTAGCTTGAGGGGTTCAAAATGACAATCGAATAGATCAGAGACAGCTGCAGTTGGGTTTAGTTTCAAGCCATTAAAAAGCTACTTATTTTCTTCAAATGAAATGAAATGCTTCATTGTCGTTAAAACTAAGTACAAAGTTCATGCCAATCGTCAAAAGAAAAAAAATCAATCCAGATACATAGGTGATTTATTATTGCTATGAGCACACTATTTACCAGTCAGCTACCCAGCCAGTCGTTACATGTGTAAATATGTAGATAAACTATAAATGGTTAGACCATTGACTATGGTCTGACTTTGAAGTAAGCAAATAATCTAATTATAGTTGAGATGGGTACACCTGGGTTCGTATTTTAACCCAAATATGAAAATGAATGAATGAATGAATGAATGAATGAATGAATGAAATGTGTTTATTTCCACAAAATATATACAGAAAACAAAACATACTTTTTTTATACAAAATATACTTACAAAATAAGACTAAGACTAAGAATTAAAAAAAAACATTTCTGTATAAATTAATTCAATAGTTAAATGAAATGCAGCAGACATAGGCAAATGCTGCCTGTGCGTCTGCTGGGTTGCTATTAATATTTAGTAACCAAGTAATATGGAATTATGTCTAAAAACGGTTAATAATGGAATGTAAACTTGCTTAAAAAATTATTAGTTTAGAAAGGAGATTTATATGAGCTCAGTATATGAGTGAAGGATAAGCGTAAATAGAATGTTGTTAGATTATCTGTGTAGCTTTTTTATTGACCATAAGATCAGCTCTTCCAGCATTCAGAATAGTTTATTCACAGCCCAATGATCAGGGACAAATGGGTGCATTTTTGAACCACCAAAAAGCTACCGGTACCTATCTCAGGATCGAACTGGCAACCTTTTTATTTGTAGGTGAGCAATTCATCATCATCACATTAGTATTTTTAATTGATAAATGGAAGAATTACCTTATCCAACCACAGTTGCTAGTATGACAACTAGTTTCGTTCCTTAGAACATCGTCAGGTCATTGTATGCAACCACAACATTAATGTATTAATACATTGTGGTATGTCAAAAGATTCTTTACATTGATGATGTGGTTGCATAATGACCTGACGATGTTCTAAGGAACGAAACTAGTTGTCATACTAGCAATTGTGGTTGGATAAGGTAATTCTTCCATTTTATCAATTATATATTCCAACCAAGGGTCACAATGAATAACATAGTATTTTTATTTTGCTTGTGTCTAGACCAGCTGCATTTTAAATTAAGTCAATTCACTTCTATTCTAAGGGAAAGAGGCCCAAACCCATTATGGATATGCTTTTGTGGGTGTACCAGGACTAGGCTAAAACATACCTATGCTAAAACATTGTAGAATGTCTTACAGTCGTAGTTAGACAAAATATTATAAACAACTTTTTTAATCAACGCAAACATTTCCTGTTACTTTTGTCATACATAGCACCATTTGTCTGTCGCTTCGCTTATTTTGTTTCTGTCGGCTGCCGTCGTAATTAAAACAGTATTTCGTTTGTTATTGTTTTTTTTTCTACCACAGTGTGAATCCTACCTAACCTTAACAACATAACATAAGTAAACAAATTCATAATTTCAGAAAGAATGTGCAGTGCGTTAGTTTATACCTATACGGTATTATGTTTATTTAGATTTTTGAGGACTTAAATGAAGAATTTATCTGTATGGTTATTTTATTTCTTAACAATTCAGCAATGTAGGGATTATTTTTAATCTGTAAAATCGGTTTTGTGGATCAAAATAAATCTCATGCCATTTTCAGTTAACAAGAGTAATAGGATAATAGTAAAGTTAACAATGCCAACAAAACTTATCAAAGATGCCCCTACTCTTTTTAGGTTACTCAATGGAGTAGTATGTGTTTTTAAGCCCAGTGGAATACCTGAAGGAGCTGTTAAGTACTCCCTTCTCACCAAACTTTGCAATGGTTTGTATAGCTAGCATATTTTTATGTTTACTGCATTGGACTGTAATAGTAAACCTTTTGTTATTATGCTTTTGACCTTTAGACAGACCTCAAGTGGTTGCTTCTGAAGCTGGAAGTATCATTCTTTCTCTCAGTGACAAAACCCGTGCAAACCAACACAAGCCAATCACTTTGAATATACTCAATTCCCTGTCCGCCGTGCAATTCAGGTCTTATGCTTGTGATAGGGACTAGATCTGAAAGCACAAAACATACGTCAAATAACACTTATGATAATATATTTACTATATGATAATACTATATACTTATTGTAAGGGAAACTCTTTGATGTATCTATATACTATTGTATATATATACTATATACTTATGATACGGTAATATTATTGCTTTCCATAATAGCCTAAGTTATATTTGTACTGTTTACTCACAAGGCGGTAAATACATATAAAATATGGTAAGTGGTGATCGATTTCGATTGGACACTCCAATCATCATCAGGCCCAATAGGTGAATGTGATGGATACAAAGTCGTGCTATGAAAATGACTGGAAACATTTTATTTATTGTCACATGGGTAGCGTCAACTGTACTCATGACCCTCCTGCTACACTACATAGTGTTAAAATACATTTTATTTAAATTATTCCGACAACTTTTTGCTTATTGATGTCGGTATACATTGGTACGGTATTATGATTTATAATTTGAGTTTTGGTGTAGGCCGAGTTAAATTCAAAAGTACGTTTAAAAGAGCTGTAAAGAAAAAAGGTACAGTTCTGCTGAGAACATTTAAGATATATAGCCTAATCAGATGAAATAGTCATTCATCCGACCCAACCGCCGCAGCGGTTTGTAAACAAGTGGCAGGCGGTCCTGAGGCTGTTCTCTTCTAGAAAACACCCATAACAGTAAACCAATCTTCATATCAAATGAACTAATTCATTTCATTTCAATTTTATTTTCCTCGGCAATGCCATTTACAAAAATACAATTAGTTAAGATTATATAAATACAAAACATTAAATTACAACAAAACAACATTTCATCAGCAATAGCATCGATGCAATCAATTAACAATAACAGCTATAAACTATGACATAACAATAACAATAACAATGCAGAATGACCATGAATAACAATAAAAAGGCATAAGAATAATAATAACGATAACAATGATAATAAATGTATGTCTGAATCGTATGGTAGGATGTCTGAGTTTAAACTGTTGTATACTAATTGACAATTGATTGCTCTAATTGATTGTTGTTGTTGTTGTTGACTAATTGATATTTATATAGCCTAGAATGAAAATTTCACCCAGTACTATATCGTAGGTATTTTGCAAATCTGTATTAAATTAAAAAGTAAAGTTTTTACTTTTGTCTTTAGAACGGTTTTTTCTTTTACTGCAATTACAATTCAAAATAGGCCTACGTAGCTTGTGGGCTCTTATAACTGTACAGTGAACATGAACAAAATACTCTATAGGCCTGAATCAATATAATTGCTTAAAACATAGCATCAATCCAATGGTACACTCGTTGGTCTAGACCTATACTGTACCAGGGTGTCTCATCTAAAAAAAAAATAAAAAATTTACTTAGGCTAATCTAAATACAAATCACAATTATTGTTCACAGAATTGAATCAGGTGGAATGCAGACCACCCAAGGAGATAGTCACTATAGCAGGAGACACCACAAAGGAGATGAGGGTCACTGTATCACCGAGCTATGCTGATCATCCTCTCGTAGTAGGTCCAAGGTATCAAGAGAAAGACTTCCGCTGTCAATGGCCCCTTCCTCTTGGAGTTCACACTTCTGGTGTTCTTTGTAAGTAATATAAGACTAAATTACTCACGTAATCCCGTCACGGCTCAACAAATGTTGTCAAACTAGTAGTACATGTTTTGGTGTTATAACACCGTCAGCTTCAGGTACTTTATGTAAGTAGGCCCTACATTATTCATGTAATTCGGAATTATAAGTCAGACTTCACAAAATTATGATTTGGTTCAAATCCATAAAGTAGATAGATACACAGTGATAGATAGTGGCGGTTTTAAGACCACGTTGAAGAGGGGGTTCAGATGAGGATGGGTCCTCCCTTGGAAAAATTGGATTTTTAAAGCAGTTTGGTTAAATCAAATCAAATGAAATCCATTTATTGCCATCAACATTATAAATACATGTAGGCCTATAGCAACGTCATACAATTTCATCACAGTATATCCATTAACCTACTTAATATGTTCTACAAATTCTTTGACCTTATACACACATAAATCACACAAAATCTTTCTAATACCTAGTAAATTTAAATTGTCGTATTTCAAGACATTTAATGTGAGCAGGTAACATATTATACAATCTTTTACCAAATTCACTAAAGTTATTGATTGTGGTCATAAAATTATACATTGGTTTGGACGGAGAAAAGTGTTTTGTCTGGTAAAATGGTTATGAACTTACTTTCTAAAGCCATTTTTAACGTCTAAAAGTGTATCCAAAAACAACCCCCATTCCCCTTTTTTTGGACAGAATGTACATTTAAATTTAGTTTTCGAGGATCCAATAAGGGGAGGAGCCTTAGCAGTTATCCCCTCACTTGGAACCGTCATTGTAGATAGGCTAAGAGTTTCTATTTTACCAAACTGAAAAGAAAGGCTCTAAAAGGCAATATACCCTAAGGCATAATCCGAAAACTATATTTAATCTCTTTTGATAGCAATTGTTCACCTCATGGTTGACTCTTATAGTCTTATAGCTAGATATTTTACAAAGGATGTCCTTTTCCTACCCACTTTTCAAAACACCCCTTTAATGGTAGCTGTGCTCTTTGTTGATAGCATACCTATTTCAGTCATAATTTAGACACATTTCATGTCATAATATCTAGAGGTACAATATTTAAAGTTAAAATTGAGTTTTGTTTATCATTGAAGACATTAATCTGGATGCTGGACTATTGAAACAATATACTAAAAACAACCTGTGAGTTCTAATGAGTATGGTATCTGTGTATAGTTAATATCACAATTTAAGTTACTTTCCATGCATGCATAGATTAATGTTGCCACTCATTTATTTGCTTTAGGCCCTATGTACTCAAAGTATGCTACTTCCAGTTTAATTTTTATCACTTTTTATTCTATGTCATTTTTAACAATGTTACAAAGGCTCTATTAAAAAAAATAAAGTACCATGGACCAATAAAATAAACCTTGCTTATTATCCATCCAAATTACGTGGTACTTTGCAATTTCATTGTTTAACAATTTGTTTATGCTTTTAGTGTTAGGGTTGAATCAAGGAGTGCGGATAGTACGGGCGTTAGAGCACGCTCACCAAATAAGGACGTTTCATGTGACTGGGCAGCTAGGTCGAGCCACTGATACATATTTTACAGACGGAAAAGTCGTTGAGAGGTCAAAGTTCAAACATGTCTCTCGAGAAAGAATGGACAAATTATTAGCATCAATACAAGCGGCACATCAGAGGACCATGTTTGAGTGAGTTACACTTGTAATGTCTCTTGAGTAACAAATGTTTGCAAACAAAGTTCTAGGCTACAAATAATGTTCATGATTGAACTAGGATTTGTTTAACAGTTTTTAAATTATTTCAAATTTGTGTTCAGGCAAAGCGCCACTAGAAAAACAGGCCATGCTGCAGGATCCATGACGTCACACTTGTGAAAATTTTGTTTATATTATTTTAGGGTTATTTTCATGATTTGCGACCTACTGTTTGTGTTTAGTATTCTATGGTTTATTTTATTTCAGTCTGGCTTCAACACATGTTTTGGGGGTTTTCAATTTTACTACATGTGATTATTGTTTTGATAATATCAATGTTGTTAGAAATAGTCAAGGAATACATCACAGTTTTTACCTAATTCATTTTGCATTTATTTGTTGGTGATTTTCTCTATAGATTATGTAATTGTATTTTAAAGTTATATAAAGGACTTTCTCATTCTTAACCTCAAGACTCAATTCAAGATTGGTAAGATATAATTAATTATTCATGGTAATCTCTATTCAGTTCCATTACATCAAACATAAAACTATTCTATCCACTTTAAATTCCCTAATAATTTCATTGGTCCTTCGAACATCGGATGAAAGAATCAAGAATATGGATATTCAAAACTACTAATAGTGTACATTATTATTTGTTATTTCATCAAGATATTTAAAATTCAATCTTAAAAATCTACTAATGTACTCTGAAAAATTGGAATGTTTGATTCTGTTGCCTTAGTAACAATATTACTACCCCTTTCTATCTTTGCCTTTACAACCACATTTTTCCAATCAGCTCATTAGTACATTCCTTTAATAGGCCTATACAAAATGAAGTATCAAACCTTTGTCAGATTTTCTAACCTAATCAAAGTTCGTCTCAATAATATTCTTTCATTTATTGACACTATATCAGAAAATGATCATGTTGAATTAGTTGATCAACAAAAAGTTAATTCCTATAAAAGTGAAGTCAATGAAAAACGTTGTGAATTTAATGAACACATTAGAAAATTACTGGACGTGCCGAATCTGCCTGGTGACTATGATGAACAAGATCTAATTGATCGACAGGAGGAAATAAATGAACTTTGTATCAGCATAGAAAGTAAAATAAATTCTTATCTTTTGGAAAGTAAAGGCAATGATGACAATCAATCTATTACCTCTCATCTCAATGAACGGGAACACTCTAACATGTCTGTGGTGCGCTTACCGAAAATAGAATTAAAAAACTTTAATGGTGACTCTCAAACTTGGTTAGCCTTCATCAACCTCTTTGATACCACAATTCATTCAAATTCATCTCTCTCGAATGTGGCTAAATTTCAATATCTACTTAGTACTTTATCTGGTGAAGCACTCAATCTGGTCAAATCCCTACCCATCTCTGAAGCAAACTACACCATCGCGTACAACATGTTGCGAGATCGTTACCATTCAGTGCGAAGGCTTTCATCTCTTCACATCAATAAAATCATTGATTTGCCCAGTGTTAGTTTTTCCTCTACTAAGAATCTCAGAAACTTGCTCAACTCTTTTAATGAAAATTCCCAAGCTCTAACAGCATTAGGCTGTGATGTAGTGGAAAACAATCCTCTCTTAGCATCAATGCTATTACGAAAACTAGACGCAAAATTGTTAAATAAATATGAATCCTCAAGAAAAGACTCTGAATCTCTACCCTCAGTCAATGAAGTAATAACTTTTCTCTCAAATCATTGTGCACATGCTGAAGATGTGTCCATGCACTCACCCAATAGTAGTAAATGGGTCAAACCTCACTCAAATATCCCACCTTTGTCAAACCTCAACCGCAAAAATGAAATGTCTCATCCCCGACCATTTACCCTTGCATCAACACAGAGCTCCACTGATTTCCCTTGCTTCGTTTGCTCTAAACCTGGACACAAAGTATATTCCTGTACTTTATTCAAAGAAAAATCTCCTCAAGAACGACATGAACTAATCAAATCCAAACAACGTTGTTTCTCTTGTCTTGGAAATCACAAAGTCAGTATCTGCAAATCGAAAAACTCTTGTTTTAAATGTAATAAAAATCACCATACACTGTTGCATCTAGAACCATCAAAGGACCGTACATCAAGAAACTCAGTACCAAACTCTCCTCTCACCTCCATGTTAACTGTCTGTGATTATGAACATCATTCCTCCTTTCCACGGTTTATCAAACAAGAAGAACCTCCTTCATTTTCTAAACCAAATGACCTCAACATTTTGAGCAAAAGACATTTTGTGAAGACTTATTCTAGACAACCCTCTAGTATACACCACGATAAGCTACCATTCAAGCGTTGTCACCTTCCTCCTGAAGACTATTACACCACTAAAACAAGATTTTTCCCACTAGAAAAGAAATTCAAACCTCGACTGTCTTATAAAGAAGCAATCCAGAACTCTCAATTTCTAGCTCCTCTCTCAGCAGATCCATCAGACCTATCTTCACCAACACCTGAACACTTTCTGCATAGTACACCTCATGCGATAAAAGTCAAAAGATGGCATCGATGGAGGCTACCTTCATCTCGTTGTGATTCAAGACATCCTTACACCTCCAATGTGTTGGCCACTGGCTAGAATTGTTGAAACACACCCTGGTTCAGATAACATTACAAGAGTTGTGACTGTGCGTACGAAGAGTGGCCTTCTCACTAGACCGGCAATCAAGGTTTTCCCACTGCCTGTACTTGAAGACTAAATTTTATTACAGTTCCGCCCCTTTTGTTGCTTTAACTTTCTCTGTTTTAATTAGGCCTACTGTTTCTGTACTCACTTGTTAAATTAATTAATTGAACCTGCGGTTCAAGGGGCCCGGCATGTTTAGTATTCTATGGTTTATTTTATTTCAGTCTGGCTTCAACACATGTTTTGGGGGTTTTCAATTTTACTACATGTGATTATTGTTTTGATAATATCAATGTTGTTAGAAATAGTCAAGGAATACATCACAGTTTTTACCTAATTCATTTTGCATTTATTTGTTGGTGATTTTCTCTATAGATTATGTAATTGTATTTTAAAGTTATATAAAGGACTTTCTCATTCTTAACCTCAAGACTCAATTCAAGATTGGTAAGATATAATTAATTATTCATGGTAATCTCTATTCAGTTCCATTACATCAAACATAAAACTATTCTATCCACTTTAAATTCCCTAATAATTTCAGTTTGGTTACATAACTAGGAGATCAGTTATTGTTTATGATTGGATCGTTTTCTTTGGTTTAACGAGGTTTTGAATGACTGAAATAACAAGAAACAAATTGTAAACAAAACACGACCTCCACAGTGTGACGTACAGAACTAACAATAAAATTGGCTTCAGCTGTTGTCATAAGGATGACAAATCTATACTAAGGGAGATGTTTTATCTGGTTTTACACACATAGATAGATGTTCGTTAAAATTTGGTTATGTTAGTCTTGTGTTCTATTTATTTAGTTGTTTGAAGCTAAAAGGGATTTAAGAAACTTGATTCAATATTTCCCTTCCATACCCTCAAGAACGAACTATTATTTACTGTACACGTACCTAACTAAAGAATTTTATGACGCTTTTACAGGCTATCTGGCGTAGATATTCAATCTCAGGATGCTTACGAGCTTGCTGTCAAAGGCATGATCAGACCTGCAGATCCCAATGTGCCGATGATTTATGGTATCAAGTGTGTGGAGTTCAACCCTCCGGACTTTACATTAGGTAATTGTATGAATTTACTGAACTGCAACACTTGAAACACAGTGAAAATAATTCCAAAACTATTGAAATAAATGGTATCAGCAATCTGCCACATACTTTCTTCCGTTAGCTTGTCACCAACAAGTTAAGTTAAGTGGTGGGAGTAACCTATTTATTTTGGGGAAAATCACAAAAGCTGCAATAACTTTTGAACCGTAATTTTTACAGCAATTGGATTTGTTGCAATTTGTTCAGGATTAAAAGAACTATATAACATACTAAATTTTAATCAAAATTGGTAGAGCCGTTTTTTAATAAGATTTTACCACTATTTTTTGGGAAAACCATTAATGTTAAAATAACTTTTCAATAGACATGGGGTATACAGTTGTACCGATTTGTTTAGAGTTGAAGGACTACAACATCCTACATTTTTATAAAAATCGTCCTTAACTTTGGCCACCACCTCAAACGAGACGATGTACTCAGCCAGCCTAAACTACGCAAAACAAAATGCAATTGTTTACAACCATCTCCATTCTTCCTCCAACCCTTACGCACATTTTACACTTAAGTCCATTCTCTTCTATTAACTGGCAATAGACTTTTACAGAGGTTGACACCTTAAGACACAGAGAACTAATACAAAATTTGGTGCATACTTAGCAGAGCGTATATTTTCCTATATTCTTGTAAATTATGACGAGACTAATTATTGCATTAAGTTGGGAACCAGCTAGAATAAGTAGTATAAGGAGTAAAGAACATAGCACTCAGTAAAATTGGGAATTGAAAGAAAAAAGTTAATGTATCGGATATAATGCAAGCAATGAGGTCCCCTAGTTATTGAGTTGCATATTATGGTTGTTAGGTTTTGTTAATTATGCTTATTTTACCAAGTTATTGTTAGATTTATTATGTGAAGTGTGAAGAACTTAATTTTGATGAAGCAGCCAAATAAGGACTCTATCACGCACAGGTCACTGCGGCCCATGTGATATTTTTATTGTTGCATGTATTGCTGCAAAATAATTATTTTTGTAAATAAAGAATTTCTCTCTCTCTCACACATATTATGTACCGGTACTAGCTTGATTAACAGGAACTTTTTAAGGATCTTTATTTAATGGTTCGCAACATAGTTTGGTTGAATAGCATGTATTTTAAATATCTTGGTACTATGCTTTCAGAAATCCACTCAACGAACGAGAGTGAGATCTATTTAAAGAAGCTGATAAATGCGATTGGCATCAAACTACACACAGCTGCTGTTTGCTCTGGACTCAGATGCATTCGACATTCTTACTTCACGGTTCAAAACGCACTTTTGCGCAAACATTGGACTTTGCAACATGTTATTGACAACTTACAAGAGAACGATAAATTAATAAGAGCTAATCCTGACAGGGGAAATATTCTCCTGAATAAACCTCAACTACCGGATCCGAATGATCAGCAAACTCTTATAGCATAGAAAATAACTTGTAAATAACCCATGTACTATAGTCATTTTTGTAAATAAACTGTTTAACATATGCTGGAAGATTACTTTACCATCTGTGATCTAAAAATATTGTATAGTTATAGTTAGGAACGTATGTAACCCCCATAAAACCCTGTTCCCATGGTCTGATAACTCATTCAAGTTTATCCTGCTTTACCTTCAAAACAAATGTCATCCATTACTTAGTTGTTCACAGACGTTATAGACGTAAATAAAAACTAACTAAAAACCCTAAAAAATTTGAACGAATACTGTTTTTGGCCTCTAGGGACATCAAAATTAAAAATATAAGTTATTGGTCCAGGCTCCAGATCTTACCATGCCACCTACGGTAATAGCATAGCAATATAAATAAATACAAGAACCCGATCTGTTTACAATTTTAAGATTTGTAAATTAATAATACTTTCATTTTCGGAAACGAAATCAAAAACACATTAATACAGGGTTTATAAATTCTACTTATGCGTAATTTAAAGTTAAAAGATAGCAGAAAAAGAAAGAATTGAGTACCTACACTATGTTCCGTCAATTATTAATGCTCATAGATGGCTACGTCCAAATTCACCAACATTTTTGGGGTTGTTTCTAATGTCCAAATTCACCAACTTTCTACCTGGAGCAGGTACGATATTTCTCCCGGCGGGCGGGGAAGGAATTCCGAATAGTTTGCCCTCGCCTGCTCCGTCTCGTCTCGGCGAGAGTGTACTGCTTAGCCCTAATAGTACTGTTTAAGCTGTGATTGTTTCAGGCAGCTTTAGGTTAGGTTAGGTTGGGTTAGGTTAGGTTAGGTTTGGTTAGGTCTGGTTACAGTACACTCTCGCCGAGACGAGACGGAGCAGGCGATGGCAAACTATTCGGAGGGAATTCCTACCCCGCCCGCCGGGAGAAATATCGTACCTGCTAAAGGTAGAAAGTTGGTGAATTTGGACATTAGAAACGACCCCAAAAATGTTGGTGAATTTGGACCTGGCCCTCATAGATAGTGTTTGATACGTAAATGCAACATGTTATTGACAACTTACAAGAGAACGATAAATTAATAAGAGCTAATCCTGACTGGGGAAATATTCTCCTGAATAAACCTCAACTACCGGATCCGAATGATCAGCAAACTCTTATAGCATAGAAAATAACTTGTAAATAACCCATGTACTATAGTCATTTTTGTAAATAAACTGTTTAACATATGCTGGAAGATTACTTTACCATCTGTGATCTAAAAATATTGTATAGTTATAGTTAGGAACGTATGTAACCCCCATAAAACCCTGTTCCCATGGTCTGATAACTCATTCAAGTTTATCCTGCTTTACCTTCAAAACAAATGTCATCCATTACTTAGTTGTTCACAGACGTTATAGACGTAAATAAAAACTAACTAAAAACCCTAAAAAATTTGAACGAATACTGTTTTTGGCCTCTAGGGACATCAAAATTAAAAATATAAGTTATTGGTCCAGGCTCCAGATCTTACCATGCCACCTACGGTAATAGCATAGCAATATAAATAAATACAAGAACCCGATCTGTTTACAATTTTAAGATTTGTAAATTAATAATACTTTCATCTTCGGAAACGAAATCAAAAACACATTAATACAGGGTTTATAAATTCTACTTATGCGTAATTTAAAGTTAAAAGATAGCAGAAAAAGAAAGAATTGAGTACCTACACTATGTTCCGTCAATTATTAATGCTCATAGATGGCTAGACGTCCAAATTCACCAACATTTTTGGGGTTGTTTCTAATGTCCAAATTCACCAACTTTCTACCTGGAGCAGGTACGATATTTCTCCCGGCGGGCGGGGAAGGAATTCCGAATAGTTTGCTCTCGCCTGCTCCGTCTCGTCTCGGCGAGAGTGTACTGCTTAGCCCTAATAGTACTGTTTAAGCTGTGATTGTTTCAGGCAGCTTTAGGTTAGGTTAGGTTGGGTTAGGTTAGGTTAGGTTTGGTTAGGTCTGGTTAGGTTAGGTTACAGTACACTCTCGCCGAGACGAGACGGAGCAGGCGATGGCAAACTATTCGGAGGGAATTCCTACCCCGCCCGCCGGGAGAAATATCGTACCTGCTAAAGGTAGAAAGTTGGTGAATTTGGACATTAGAAACGACCCCAAAAATGTTGGTGAATTTGGACCTGGCCCTCATAGATAGTGTTTGATACGTAAATAAACGGTATCAGCATTCTGACACATACTTTCTCCCATAAGATTGTCAACAACCTTTCTCATGAGTAAGCGGCGAGAGTAAATATACGGAAATGGGATTTGTACAATTTTCTTCATAATTTAAAGGACTATAACATACTAAATTTTTTTCAAAATCATTCTAGCCAATTTTGGGAAAATCCGATTTTCCGTTATTTTATGGGGATTTTTACGGGAAAATAACATAATCTACCATAACTTTTGAACCGTAATTTTTACAGAAATGGGATTTGTATCATTTTGTTTAGAATATAAAGGACTATAACATACTAAATTTTTATCAAAATCGTTCGGGCCATTTTTGAGAAAATCCTATTTTTACAGTTTTTTACGGGGTTTTATGGGAAAATCCCCATTAAAAATAAAATTTTCTAAAAAATGACATAAACTATCAAAATTGTAAGGATCATAACATACTCTGTTAAATCAAAACCGGATTTTTGTCTAAAATCCTATTTTTTTGTTATTTTATGGGGGTTTATGGGAAAATAACATAACTTACCATAACTTTTGAACCGTAATTTTTACAGAAATGGGATTTGTACCATTTTGTTCAGAATTTAAAGGGCTATAACATATTAAATTGTTATCAAAATCGTTCGGGCCATTTTTGAGAAAATCCGATTTTTCCGGTTTTTTATGGGTTTTTATGGGAAAATCCCCATTAAAAATCAAAATTTCAAAAAAATGAAAAAAACGCCTGGAGATACCATGGATTAGAACCTACATACCAAATTTCATCGAAATCGGACCACAGGTGTAGTCTCTAGCTCTGTACACATCCAGACACACAGACACACAGACACACAGACACACACACACACACACACACACAGACATCACTTCGAAAACGACTTTTTTGGGTCCAGGGGGACCCAAAACGAATATATCCACTCAAAACTCAAACTCGAAAATTTTGACGAAAACAATACTTTCTCCATATACTATGGTATAGGGGGAGAAAGTAAAAATGAAGTGGCGGAACTGTAACCTATTTTAATGTGATTGTACCTATTTATGCTAATATTTGTATCCTTCCGAAAGAGAGGTACTGGAACGTGGTTCTATCACATTCCACTGCAAATTGAGCATTGCTCATTATAGAAGATTGATTTTTTGGGCCCAAAATAATAACCATAAAATATTTTTTAGTTTTTTATTCAAATATTAAAACAAGTGGAACTAAGCTTCGGCTTCCTCTCCCATCTTCTTGAGGTAGGTGGCCTTCTTCTGAGCGATGCGGTTCTTGCGCTCAGCCAGCGTCAGCTTGGCTCTCGTCCACCTCTTCTTGACGGGCTGCTTCGCCTTGGCTGGTCCCTTCAGTATCGGGTCGGCTCTGATGGCAGCATGGGCGTTCTTGTATACAGACTCGATCTGTTCAACATGAAATTCAGGTTAAGGATGTTACATAGCACAAGGACTAAGGTTTTATGGATTTTGTTGGGATAGGGATAACTGTCTTACCCGAATGGTTCACTCTGGCACAAGAAAACACAGACAAATTTACCCTTCACAATTCACTGTCATAGCATTTTCAACCGAGGAAGATATTAGTTGGAAAAGTAATGTCTCCGAGTCGCCAAGAAGCTGTAGCTGCCATTACAATAACAATATTTTACACGATAGTGAAATATTAATTTTTTTTTAATAGGCCTAGTAAAATAATGTTTTTTTAATGTTCATTATAATTGAGTGGCCCTCTTTACCAAACATTCAGGTAAATCTGCTATCCTGAAAATCCTTCAATTAAGTGTATATCCAGCTCATAAAATTACAAAGAAACTTGTCTTGATAGCAAAGGATTTTTCGCTAGCAATAACAATGCTGTTTGAGTGGGACTACGCAACAGTACAATTTAATGATAGGCAGTAGGCACAACGTACATACAAACTACTTGGGCTAATAGATAAAGTATGTAGTTTTAGTTAGTTACTCAGGCAATAATGTTTTGAGTTTGATACCTACCTCAACAAATTTTTTGAACATTGCACACCCAGCAGAAGCCTTTTAAAAACAACCCAATAACTTATGTTAACACTTTGTTACAAATTAATATTTCAAATGCTGTCAGTTGTACAGTTTAATTATATTATTCTAAAAGAATAACTACAAGGGAAATTTTAATACTTACATTATCAGCGTTAACGCCTAATTTTATATATCTTGAAAATTGTTTTTTGTAGGCATCGTCGTCTTCCTCTGCTAATTGCCTCATATATTCTCCAACGTGTAGTCCAAAAATGTGTTTACGGTGGACCTCGGCATTAAAGTTTTTACTTTCAGCATCGTATCCAGGGAATCTCTTGGTACTGAAATAGACAAAATAGTTAATTAAATAAAAAAAGTAAACAATAAAATAAAGTTTACCTAAGTTATGAGTTTTACGATGTAGCCTATCTAGCTAAACTTAAATGGTGGACTTGAAAATTTAATATATCTAGTTTGTTCAATCTTTACCTGTTGGCAATTACCATCAAATTTAAATTTCTTTGTCCGATTCCGATGTCAAATCTAGACAGAACACAATCTGCAGACTTGTTTACGATAATCAAAACTCCAAGTAGCACTACAATCCTGGTTTTCCAGGTCAGCTGGGCACATGCGGTATAATATTTACATTTTCTTTAATTTAATATTGCTTGCAAACAAAGTGACTAATGAAGATCAAATTGCACAATTGCGGAGCAAATGCAGACATGAAAGTATGACCTCGTCTAACCGATTTAACCTTAGGTAAATTTTCCACTTCAAGAACGCTTACCATAGTCTCAGTTAAAAGCAGAGTGCTATTACTACATCTTAAATACTACTGATATTATCCTTCTGACTGTTTACCTATGAGGTATATTGAGGCCACCATCCACAGCGCCCTTCATCGCACCAAAGACACGAGCCCCTGTGCTGGTCTTCATAAGACCAACGTCCAAGTAACACCTGAATGCTCCAGGACCGTCATCCAGGGCCTCTACGTTATACTCTTCACCCGTCACGTCGGTCGTACCAGTGTACAGATTGTCCAAACCAAGTTTCTTCAGTAACTGCACAACAAGATGAACATGTTTAATAGTTAATTTTTTTAGTTCTAACAGGATGCTCTAGAGAGGCAGAAAGGCCTAGCCCGAAGTTACTGCAGAGTATTCTGACAGGACAAAGAGCCTCTAAGACTGACACAATATGCCTCCTACTTCAAAAATGTTGATGGAACTGAACTATTTCCTCTTTTCAGTGTTTGCTATGGTAAATCTTGTTTTAAGAGCGTTTTAATGGATATTATATTTGGGTGTTTTCATTAATTCAATTCAATTCAATTCAATTATTTAAGATGGGGACGCCACTATGTGCGTATTTTAACCCAAATATATGAGTGAAGGATGAGTGTAGGATGAGTGGCGCGATTAGATTAGATTCAAAGGTTAGGCCTACTCGCATATATCGAACAAACCACTGGCCCTTCTAGTAAAGAGATGTTATCTATCCAACAAAGTTTTCTAAATTTAAGATTAGGTTACCATTTCAAGTTTCCTACAATAGGCCAACAAGTCATATTATTTTGTTACCAATAAAATAGGCTAACCTGTCCTAACTTGTAGGCTAGTTCAGATAACTGACTTCATAAAGATTGACAAAATATATTACCGTCATTTAAACATGACCCGCTCTGCTTTTTAGAAAAATACTACATTAATAGAAAAAAATATATTTTTCACGAGACGATGATAAATATTTCCACATTTTGGAAAGTTTACTACTAAGTTACACCATTCCTATACGGTAACTATACCAAAAATAAATAATTTAGAGGGAATTCCACAAGCGTACTCTCACAGATATTATCTCACAGATCAGCGATATTATTTAAATCTTGGAAGCCAAAGAGGTTTATATAGAATATAAATTACTTACTCTCCTGGCCAAAAGCAGTCCTGTGCAGTAAGCCGCAGCGTAGTTGGTGAGGCCGACCTTGATTCCGTACTTAGGGAGCTCATGACTGTATGCAGCACAGACGATCTTGTCTCCTTCGATACGAGAGTAGGCCACCTGACAAGTGATGTCACGGTTGGAGAGACGGACGATTAGACGGTACTTGGGGGTGTTGTATTTGTTCTTGTCTTGGACAATGAGCCGTTTACGGGCATAGTAGTCGGTTTTTCCCTCACGACGCCTCTTGAATTTAACTTGATACCTCTTGAAGTACTGCTTGTTTTTGACAACTTTAACAAAACCCTGAAAAAAAAGAGAAGAGTAGTAAAAAACTTGGATACGACCACAACTTAAAGCTAGTAAACATTTCAGTACCAGTACCTTCCAGCGCTAAATAAACTTAGATGAAGGGCTGGATCTTCATTATTTTTCTTCAAAATTTAAATAATGTGGTTACAGGTCATAGTTTGTATTTATTTTTCTTGTAATAATTTTCATAGATACAAAAAGATTGTCCCTAGCGCTGGAAACTAACTTTTTTACAAAGGTTATGAAGAAAATAAAATTTAATTTGACGGATAGGCCTATAGCCTATCTGTTTTAGGACTACAAAAAACTATAGTGGAAATAGGTTATCTGTCTGCCGCTGGTAGCGATAATCTTGAAATATGAACACTTCCGACAATCTTTGAGTATTCCTGTGGGCGGCAGATACATATATCTGTCAACCTTATTCCTTCTCTTGTTTTATTTTTTATCCGTCAAAATGTATCTAATCTAGGATTCTAAAGTAAATCTAAACCACCCAGTTCCGCTCCCTTGTTCTAAACCACATTGCCCACTAAGACTTCCTCTACGCAAAGACTGTTTCATATCAGTTTCATCATATCCATCAAATTCAGTACTATCGTTTTCAATGCCAAGTATAAAATCCCCCTCAGACATAAATACTTTTATTTAGCATCTCAATAAAATCTTCTAATTTTTGATAATTTGTGTTGGTAATGTAAGCTCAATTACATAATAATAAAGCATAAAACACAAACGTAAACATCACTCACTAACAACCTTGTGCAAACTGATGGTTTAGCAATATTCACACTCTCTATGGCGCAAACAATAGTTGAAACAGTTGCGGCAATTATTAGGCCGGTTGCCTGAAGAAATTTTGCCTCAAGAAGAAAGTTTTCCTTGATTCCAAGTACAAGAAAGTTTACCTCAAGAAGTAAAACAAACTCAGCAGGAAAGATTGCTCAAGTCTCCAATCATGCTCAAGCAAGACCTTTGACTGAAGGATTAAAAAAGACTCGAGCTTTACCTAATCACTTGTCAAGCACTTCATAATCACGAACACAAATTATGAACTCTAACACTATTTTTACCAATGTTAAAAATAAAGTCTCACCTAGCACCCAGAGGGTTTCTAAAAAAATAAATAAAAAAAAACACTATTATGGCAACAAGCGATATAAGCCCTATCGTAGAAATCTGTTTGCAAAATCTTCTGGAAAAAGTTGCTGAGCATGAAGGCTGTGGTTCAGCATGTTCTTTACTAACTTCTTTACTAGGAATAAGAGTTCTCAAGCATGGATATGGAGACAGAGGTAGCAGTTATATTCCCCTACCTCAAACATTTTCTCGCACTAAAGCTTGCATTAAAGTTAAAAACGTTGACAATGAAAGTACTTGCTTTGGAATGTACTAGGAGACTTGTTGCGTGAAGATCTCAAGAAAACTGAGGCTGTTGACGACGACATGTTAAGAAAGTTGTAAGTCAGATTGCTGCTTACACTTTCTCCTCATGAGACATGGATTTTCTAACACCCATCTTAAACGGCTGAGAAGGCTTTTTAACCCCCGAAAGCATATTGCAAGATTAAAAGCGCAGAACGGAAGCGGGGGTACTTGCCTGTTAGAGGGAACATTCATTATTATCGATGATTTTTTTTCTTTGATATATCGATTTTAACAAATTGAAACATATCAGCTGACAAATATGATAAATACATACGGTAGGTATTGTTCAGTATCAAAAAACAATAAAAAAACAAACAAATTAAAATGAAACTGTTCTAAATTAACCTAACATAACTAACTATACTTGCTGTACCTACCATTTCAAAATTCTGTTGATATTCCCCACATGCATTTCTGTTATCAAACGGAATTTTGAAATGGTACAGCAAGTTTTGTTAGTTAGGTTAGTTTAGAACAGTTTCATTTCTAAATTAAAATCCTTGTAGGCCTAATTATATACCTATTGTTTTTGCCTAGAAACAAGATAAATTGTCAATTTGTAATTTAAATGTGTGTGAAGATATTAAAACTGAAGGGATATGCTTCAAGGAAAACAAAAATATCGATAGCCTATATAAAAAAATCATCAATTAGCTTAAGTTAAGTTTAAGGTCTTAACTTAAGTTAGGTCCCTTAATATTAAATGTATAAATGTTTCCTTTATCAGGAAAGTACCGAAGCGGGTTAAATATCGAGTCTTGACCATGACCATTTTCTATAGAGGATCAGCCTGCAACACCAACTGGTGCAATATTAACTGTAACTTAATCAACCACGTTTTATAGGACCCAGTAAGTTAGTTCTTCACAACCTAAGCGGATATGATCTCACCTAATAGTTCCCGAATTAGGAAGAGATAACTTAGTGGAGGCATCAACATTCTAGCGACTTTATTTTTATTAGTAGCCTATCTAAAAAAAGTAGGTAAATTAAATCTTAAATATTTTAAATTCATTTAGATTTATGCCTAAAAGCTTGATGAAATTAGCCAAACTGAAAATATGCAACAAGAGGATCTGATGGAAACAACAAAATCGTCCCTGCTGAAAATGTTGAGTTAAGAGTTATGTTTTGAAGACAGGTAACTTATTTTCCCATAAGACTACATTGATGATCTCAGGAGTTTCAAAGAAACTTCACTGCCTATACTTGAATGCTTCTAACTTATTAACCCTCCGAGTGTCACGTGTTTTGGCCTTAATGTCAGCCTATTTTTTGCTCATTTGCAAGATTTTATTAAAACTGATCTGAGAAGCTTAAAAACAATGTTAATTATACTGTTCTATATACCATTTTGTTTGGAAAATCTTGGGCTTCAATATTATATATAAAACATAAGGAAGATTTTTTTAAAAAAAATTTTTTAGGTAAAAAAAATGTATAATTTCGAAAATTAAAAAAAAAAAATAAGTTTGCGCTCAATGAAATTGTATAAATTATAGGCCTATAAATATTTGAAAATAGCCACTTTGTTCTAAATTTTATGAGGATTACAAATATATAATAATATAAGGAAGTAGATTTGCAAATAAATAAGTTATGGGCAAAAAACAGATTTCAGTACATAGCGTTTAGCTAAGAATGCATAGCCCAACCATAGCTAGGAATCTGGCTGATAATTTACATCAATATCACTACCTACTTCTTCAGGATCATCAACCAGCACTTCAAAACCACTTAAATCTTCTTATAATGCACCACGTATATCACTACTTTTGATTTTTAACACTAAAACAATGATAAATGTAATAAAACACATCAGTCATCGGTCCGAGGGTAACCTAGCTGTTTACAAATACACGCACGTCAGCTCAGTCAGCTGTCTGCTACAATATTTTCGGAACTAAAATGAATAGTGCTTAGAGACAGACCTAGGAGAAAGCTTAGAATATTACGGAAAGAACGATACCTAACTCAATCCAGTACAGTCCGATTCAGTTAGTCATAGAGCCTTCGCCGTAAACAGTGTTCGCGAGTCGCTGTAGCGACGCACGACACTATACAAAGTGCGTTACGCGTCGCTGCAGCGACGCATGACACTCGGAGGGTTAAGTTAGACAAAGTTGGTATAGTTAATCCTGAAGATTAAGTTACCAACATGCTTGTTGGGTATGGGAATAACTTAAGTTAACATGAAGAAGATTGGTGGATATAGCAATTTCTGTAAGCATCTTGGGCTACAGTGTTTAGAAGGGACAAGTTCGATTCCTGAACACATCCATAAAACATATGGGTTTAAGGCTGCTTTCCCTAAAAGCATTTTTGTACTCTCTCCAGAGTAGGCAGGATCAACTCAAGTAAGAAGAGTATCCTACACGACAAACTTCAGTTACAGGGAGGAACAGGGGTGGGAGTCCCTGTCAAAACAACCTACCATATTACAATACAAGCCTTTTCTGACATAATTACCCCTAAGAAGGGATGAGCATTGATACACGATGTTTCCGAAACATCGGTGGTAGGTTACCGAAGTTTTTGGCCAAGTGTTGAGATAAGTTAGGCCATTGATGTTTCCCATATGAGGTTGGCCAAGTTTACTTCTAGTTGAATTTACAAATTTTCAAAAAAGGTCTGCGAAATCACCAAAATGGGTTGGCTACTCTACACTTCTAACATTGGTCACTGCTAGGGTTAAAACTAACCAAACTTGATGTCCTAATACTAATCTTACATTCAGCTCAAGTTAGGATATTTGAATAAGGGCCTATTAGGAATTGAGATAGAAACAAAACGAATGGTGTAAGCTTAATGTGAAAATAATTAATTGCCAATTAGCCTAGATTTTATGACAAAATAAAGCCAGTTTTTACACATAGCGGTGTTTGAGGTTAAGAGGGAATCTCTTTGGAAAAGAAACATCCCCTGTATTATTGGCTATCTATCTAAAGGTATCCGTAGTTTAATTATGAAGACATAATATTAACATAAAATAAATCTTTAATAATAAATATATTTAAAGATCTTACCATTTTAAAAAATTACTATGTGGAAAGATGCACGGGCAACCCTATCTTGACCACGAAACGGAAATAAGGAAAGAGAAAGAGAATAAGAACAAGAACAGAACACTTCTAGATTCTCAGTCTCAGTCCTCTCCTCAGTCTAGTCCTCTGGACTGGAGGGAAACAAGCGGTTTTTTTGGTTTGGAGCAGACTCTGAGAAAAAAAAACGCAGAGAAAGATAAACAGTTCTTAGAAGATTTCTCATCCTTATGGAACAGCTGAAGACAATTTTATTGTTAGTTCTGTACGGTTTATGTAGAGGTCGTGTTTTGTTTACAATTTGTTTCCCGTTATTACAGCCATTTAAAACCTCGTTTAACCAAATAATACCGTCTAAACATAAACAATAACTTGTCCCATGGGTTTTGTTCTTCGAAGCTCCAAATATTTCCAAGACGTTACTCTACTCAAAACCCTGTTCCTGGCCTTCGTATTGCCACACCTAGAGTTTGGCTGTTGTGTTTGGTCACCTCACCAGGACTATCTCAAGACCGAACTTCAAATGGTTGTTAATCACTTCTTGAGAGTGGTCGGTGTGAGGTTGGGCTACAACTACAGAGAGGTACCCATCCAAGAAATCTCCAAGGCCCTTCAAATCCTTCCATTGGAGTCCAGACGTGAGATCCAGGACATCTTGCTCATTTACAAACTGGTCAATGGCTTCATCGACTGTCCCGGACTTCTCAAACTTCTGAACTTCAGGGCAGGTAGATCTTCAAGATCCAAGGATCTCTTCTCTCGTGAGCATCTCAGCACCAACTACCATCTCTTCAGCCCACTGCCTAGAGCCCAACGTCTCGTAAATGCTCTACCTGATGATATTGACCTCTTTAATATGTCGCTGGCTACCTTCAAGAAATGTGTGGTGATTTCGAAGTGGTGAAGTGAAGATCTTTCTGTGTTTTGTGCCTGTGCCTCTCTGTTTATGCAAATTCTTCTACTGCCCTTTCTGGTTTTGTTAATTGTATGGCAGTATTCTTCTCACATTTTCTGATATGTTTGGGTTGTTCTTTGCTTGGTTTGTTCATGCATTATTATTGTTCTGTTTTTGCACTCAAATGTTATATCACATAATTTTCTCAAATTTAAATCATTATTGTGAATTTCGCCTGTTTGTCAACTTGTATTATTGTTGCTATTTATTGTTGTTTTTGTTTTTATTGTTGTATTTATTGTTATCTCGTAGCTTGTTACTGTTCTGAATTGTATAACATTTGCTTCTTGTTAGTTCCTTAAATTGTATCTCAATCTAATCATCTATGTATTGGCGTCAGCCGTTGAAACGATAAATAAATAAAAAATAAATAAATAAATAAATGGTTATATAACCAAACAGTAAAGCACAAATCAAGAAATTAACCCTAAAATAATAGAAACAAAGTTTCGTCGACACTAGCGCCTTTGTGTCACGTACATAAACTAAACACGAAAAACGTGCTTCAAAATTTACAATGGGATGAGAAGTCTAGGTTCTACCATGTTCTACTTTACAATGGTTCTACCATAGATAAAACATGACGATATGACTATTTTAGTCAAAGCATAGTCAAAGGTTCTACTTTTGCCTGCCGAATTTATGTCATCATTGACTTTGGATACTAGAATGGATGTCTCGTTGTTCACTAAATGTTACTCTTTTATTTTAGAACTAGCAGAGTACCCGTCCTTAGTCACGGCCGCCTTTAACTCCAGGCCCCGGCCTTCGAACTGGCAACGTTGCAAGTGGTGTTGTAACAGCTGATTTTTTTGGAAGCAACTAATGGTATTATTTGTGTATTTACGAAAAATTGATTACTGGACTATGACAATATTGACTCCGCTTAAAAATGTACAGATATAGATTTTAATTCATATTGTTTCAATTTTCAATTCTGTATGTTTTATTTTCAATATTTTAATAAATTTATGTCCGTAAATTAAAAATTAAATCAATAAAGTGCGAATTAATGAGCTGATGTCACCTGTCTGCCACTTTATCTTATGGGACGTCTGTCACTGAACAACACCACTTGCGATGTTGCCAATTCTACCAGGCCGCGGCCTGTAGTTAAAGGCGGCCGTGCCTTAGTACGGGATTGGCATATAAGTATAAAATGCTTATTGCAGAGTTATACTCAAGCTTTGCGTTTGCAATGGAGGAGAACACAGTTTGGTAAAATTTCATCATTAAGATTGACCTATGAGATTGCCCTATTATAGATCGGCCGGTTAGAAAGCGTCCTCCTCGTAGAATTGGTGCGAGAGAGAGATACCGAGCTGTGGGAGTGAGACAGACTATGGCTCTTCCCCCACTCCGCTGCCACCCCACCCCCTTTTATAAATACTAGTTGCTCTGCCCGTGCTTCGCTACGGGGTGAGAATGCAGAAAAGAAAAAATCGGTTTTACTGCAAGATACTATAATACTATGAGAAACAGTTACAACACACTTACCAGGAAACATGTAGGCAAAAGCTCAATCCTGCTTATTTATTATTTAAATTAAGATCTCTTAATGTATTACATTACTATCATTTTATATAGTGTATAGCATTTAAAATATATGCAAAAGTATAATTCATTGACCACATGGCACCAAAAAACAATTCTGCTTGTAAACAAATTCAATTAAATAGCAGAACAGCATTTCTGACAACAGCTGTAGTTTAATAACAATGTTTGTTTCCCATGTTAATCTTATGGAGAAATACGAAACTTTAAAGGGCCCCCAGGCCTCACTCTCTAATTATTTCCCTGAAAAGAAAGTTTCCTGCACAACTTCACGTTACGCTCTTTCCAATGACACCAAAAACATGTCAATCGGTTCAGTAGTTTCGGAGGAGTAATTGTCACAAAAAACCTGCTTGCGTATTAAATAAGTATAGATTAACAGTAATTAAATTGTACAGCTGATCAAAATGTAAACAATTGCGTTCTTCATATCTTGAGAAAAATAGTTCCTGCAAAAAATATTGTATAGCCTAAATCACATCAATATTTGAGCATCATGAAATGTTATTATATCATTGTGTAAGCAGTTCCATTTGATAACACAGGATTCCAACTCCCACGACACCGGGGCGGCGCCGTGTCGGTGTCGTGCCGGTGTCGGTGTCGCCATAGATAAAACATACTCCCTTAGTAGATTTTTCATCCTTATGGAACAGCTGAAGACAATTTTATTGTTAGTTCATGTACGGTTTATGTAGAGGTCGTGTTTTGTTTACAATTTGTTTCCCGTTATTACAGCCATTTAAAACCTCGTTTAACCAAATAATACGATCTAATCATAAACAATAACTTGTCCCCCAGTTATATAACCAAACAGTAAAGCACAAATCAAGAAATTAACCCTAAAATAATGGAAACAAAGTTTCATCGACACTAGCGCCTTTGTGTCACGTACATGAACTAGACACGAAAAACGTGCTTCAAAATTTACAATGGGATGAGAAGTCTACTTGTGTTGGTTAGTCTATGGTGTCGTGTCGTGCAGTGTGAAAAACGGCCATTGGCAGAGAGGGGGAACATAACCTCCCTCGCCGTTACCTCCCCTGCATGCGCTAAAAATTTCGTGCAGGTCGTTTTCTAACCGGCTGACCTATAGTTAATTGTATACTTTAATACTTTTCGATGAAATGGCGACCATACAAAGTAGGTATTTTAAGCCGAATGGAGATGATTGTAGGATGATTGGTGCGATCTTGTATAGTCTTGTTAGTGACTAAGGCTGACATATTCCTTAGACACAGCTGTTAATTAATAGCCCATACATCTAATAGCAACTAAGGGACCTACAGTTTAAAGTAGAATGCGAACCATAATTTTGCCTTGGTATACGAATTGGTCTAATTATCAGGATAGTACAGTATTGCGGATAGTAGTAGTACTCCCTCGTACGGACGTTAATCCACACCAGAGAGTATCGCATCCACATTGCATGCCTATAAATATCCACAATTCGTGACCTCCTAGTAGCTGGATTACAGGACGACGCCACCCCCCTTGTATTTTGAACTAACTGATTGGCATTAGATAAGATCATTCAATAACAAAAATACCAGTATTTGGATGGTTATGTTGAATAGGATTTGGAAATATTTTAGAAAACATGTACTTCATACATTGATTATAAATTGTATAATCAACTATTTATAATATGATCTACTCTCGCTGGATTAACCGTTTGATTTTTGTCAGCACTGCATTATATCTCTTCGTACTGTTTTTAGATAATTTCTGTTCTTGGTTAGCTTCGATTTACGTCACCACCATCGTCCATCGCCGTCACGTCTGCTTGTTTACAACGGGTTTTATTAACGTAGGGTAGGGTTTATAAACGTTGTAATATATCTAATTTTTCTATAGCTGGCTTTAAAAAATTTAAATTAATACATAATAATAATATATGACCAGCTCATGATAGTATTTAGGTCAAAAGGAAAGATTTTCTTCGTTTAATCGGATCCGTTTTATTAGACAGGTTAGAACTGATGTCTAAGATATCATTTGTTTTTTTATCTTGTTTCGTGCTTGCCAATTGTAACATTTACTTAAACTTATTCGTTATAGTTTTAATTATATGAACATTGCATTCGAACGTCGCTCTACCTTCAAGATTTCTTTATTAGGCCTATGGGGACTAAGGCCTAGATTTTCTGTTATTGGTGACATTGCAATTATTATGGAAATAAAAATTGCCTAATGATGTTTTTTTACTGAGTTGTACGTTGTATGGGTGCAAGTATGGTTGTAGATCTAATAGGCTTTTCAGAATTCACCTTTCTATCTTGGGCCTACTTAATTAAGGCCTAACTAAGGATTTAAGAGACATATAAACAAGTCATTTACAATTGCTTCACCATAACATGTAGGATACTAGACGATGATGACAGATCCTTCTCTGTGGAAAAATAGTGATTAACTTAGGCAGGCGAGAGTAGCTTAAGTTTTATGCAGCCTCGATACGGCCTCCTTTGTGAAGAGGACCCTGTGTCAAGGGAAAATGAAATGTTGCAATTGTTGGGGGGTGGATAGTGTAATTGTTGTTATTGATTATTGACAGAAATCAACGTTACTGGATAGGTACCAGAAATGTCTTATCTGTAGAAATTTCATGACACACTTTGAATAAACCAAATACAATTGAAACACTAATGGCTGAGACAAGTGTTAGGTCATTCAGTCAAGTAGGTATGTCCAGGGCAGATAAGCGGAGGGTGGTAAGACCAGAAGATGTAAACAAGTAGCTTTAACCTTTATGTTGTCGTAAAGTCTGCTGTCAATTATATTTTTTTATTTTTTCAAGTCAAGTTTACTGAGATACAAAAGGCTAGGATTTGATTTTCACAATTTTTTTGGAGACCGCCGAAATGTTAACATTACCACTAGGCCTATTGGTATGTGGTATGTTGGTATACATACATTTCTTTGTTTGATTGTGACAAGTTTCATGCATTTTTTAGATTCATAGAAAGATTTGCAGGTAGGTCTAGAAAGAGTTGCAAAGTCAGATAACACAGGAGATCATTGTAAACATGTAAAACCACTAAATTATTCCGTTTCCATTATCACTTTAACATGAACAAATCGACACAGAAAATATACCTGTAGGCCTACTGTATCAGTAAAATAAAAGATAAAGAGATAACTTGTCCACTAAGCCACAGGTCTTTGTTTGTTCTGCAACTAAGATGTAAGAAATAGTAAAACAGTATGTATGAGGAGTTGACAAACTTTTTGGAATGCGTCAGACTGAAACAATCGGAAGCATTTAGTCAAGTGCAGAAAACCTATTTGTATTTTCCGAATACAAACAGAGATAGTCATATTGGTTGTCTACGTACCTGTTAAGGTACAGCTGTAGGCCTACCATACAGAAATGGCTTGCCATTTCACTCTCTGATCGTTCGAAGGAAGAATTACCACAATAAAACGCATAATTGAAGATTGTATAATCAAGACTTAACAGTACTTGTTTCTGCATGGCACTCAACTGGTTTGTGTTTGAGTTTCAGCGCCGATGGTATTTTTTTAATGTTTTGTAAGTCACCGTATACAACTCTGGTCTTGTATATTTAAGTGGTCTACACACTGATAAACACCGATTAAGATGGAATAGTTCATGGTTAGTCTCTTCTCCCTCTCAGATGTGAACAGCCTGAAGCCCTATGGGACTTAGCTGCCATCTCTTCCTCCTCCTGTAGCCCTATGGGATCCCTACAGGTTTATAGTGTTCATCACCCTCGGTGAAGTTGTGTATGGACGGGTGGGTAGTGTGGGATATGTCAGTTGTTGATCAGACTCCTCTAGTCCGGTGTGTCTAGCAACAGGTCGCAACGCGTCAGTGACTCTTCTGCCGCCTGAGACAAGTTTTGTAAAAGGCGTTACGAAGTATTCTCCTGTCTGCCGACCAGCTTTTAGAACAAAACATGTTAATATTGTTTCCCGTTTTGGACAGAGTTTTTCAATAGATTTTCTTGAATCTTGATAACAATGAATGGTATAACTACATCCCCTGTAGTTATACTAGAGCTCTTATACCAAAAAAATTGAAAACCGAAAAAAACATTTTTATAAATGTTTAGGAATAACTTATCTTGCATTAATTTTAAGATTTTTTTGTACTCATACTATTATGTAGTTTTCTTGGATGTATGAAGGCTCTAGAACCAACATTGATCTGTACAGGAAAAAGGTTTTAACAATGGATCTTTGCAAACTCTATTCGGAGGAAGGGAATTCCAAGGCATGTTTAATGTTTTTGCGGGGGTAAAGAAGACTCTTAACCCTTCCCGGACGGGCGAAATCATGACATAGAACAGTAAAAAATTACAGGAAAAAATAAAAATTAATTTTCCTTATTTGTGTTTTGTTATATAAGTATACGTAAAATAAACTCAATAGAACACTTCATACTGTCAAAATAATTTTTTACTCGTTTTTAAGTATGAGGATGTATCTGCTACCCGAGGTGTGGGAGAGAGGGGGTGTGCGGGAGAGAGCGCAGACATGGAGAGAGCGCCTTTGTACCGCGGAATATCTGGTTACTGCTCAAGCACATGCCAGTCTGTCTGAAGAGAAGGCGTATATAGGCTATCCGCTTTCCGTCCGGAACATCAAAAACTATAAGCGGATATGTCCATCACCCGTCCGTGAAGGGTTAAGACCTGTAAACTACCCACTAAAGACTACTCTTCAGGTTACTTTTATGAATCTAGCCTGGGAACACTTAGAACGAGAGTTTGTCTACTCCCATGGAGCTCACTCTGTTTCTTTTTGTTAAATTCTAGCACAATATAGACCACAATCAAATCTAGGTAGTTCTTTTTAGCTTTGAGGAAGTTCCAGTGGAGTGCAACCAGCAGTTCTTCTCCCTGCATAGCTAAATATTGCGGCTATACCAAAAATGTCTACTATTTCATTAGTTAATTGATACAAAAGTTATCAATTTATCTCGCCTATAGATTAAATGTGGTCATTCTGGACAAAGAGTAAGCGGATAATTGCTACCAATATACGGTAAACACAAGGTATTAGGACAGTTAGACCAACAAATGAGTTATTTTGCAAGTAGGGTACTTAAAAATGTGTCAAAAAAAAATTAATGAACTACGGTATCTCAATTTTTACCAAAATCAGCTTTTCTTTATGAATAGAAATCCAGCAAGACCAACATATACATGAAAATGATGACAAATCATAAAGAAATTTGCAGTATTATTTATTAATTAAAATTAAAAATCCAGTTTTATCATCTGAGCTGTGATATGTTTTAAAATGGGGTTTACCTTTGTCTACAGCTGAATCCGACATCATCAGACACAGAAGATTCAGCTGAAGCAGCATCGTCACAGTCAATTACGTAACATACAGGGTCCATTCAATAAGCATTGGGACTGGCTCACTTTAGCGTCAAAAGAGCAGTAGAGGGGTGAGAATGGTTGGGTTCGATAGAGGAGTCCATCACCATTCACAGCAATTTGGTTTAGTCGCCCTCAGGCATTCTTTGAGACAGGATTACGATATTTGTGCCTGTATTCATTGTGTTGTCACGCCAACATAAAGAGTACCGTTGAGGAACGCTGTGAACTTTTCCTTTAAACCCGGACCCGGGTCAGAGACCCTTGCCCTCCACTCAAACATTTTGTTCACAATACTGGACAACCCAGGTAATAACGTTGTCCAGAAAATTTGGATCTTGCTCAATACAGTCTAAAATTTCTTGCACAATCTCCACCTTTGACAGTTTTTGTTCTTCACTCAGGACTTTTGGCACCAGTTTTGTGCGGACTCTTCTCATCGCCAAATTCTCCGTTATGATAGTGTGGATGGTTCCCACTGAAAGGCCGGTATTCTCACTGGTGTTGGCAAAGGTTAGATGCCTGTCAGAATCCAAAACTTCTTTCACTTTAATCACGTGAGCCGCGGTCGTCGGGCGTCCAACGTGGTGCTCGTCCTCGACGAGTTCCTGGCCTTCCTTATACATTTGGTGCCTATCAAAAACTCTTGTGCGGCTTAAAGCATCATCCTCATGAAACTGTTTAATAGAGCAAGGGTCTCCGACGTGGATCTTCCGAGATTAAAGCAAAACTTCACAGCGTTGCTTCACGGTATGCTCCATTTTGGTGAGATGACACAATGAAAAAACACTTGGCGCAAATATTGACCTCCTGTCTCAACGAATGCCCATAGGCGACTAAACTAAAGTACACCTGAATCATGAAGGACCACTCTTTCGAACCTAACCGGTCGGACACTCCTCCACTGTTCTTTTGAGGCCACAGTGAACCAGTCCCGATACTTATTGAATGGTTGGTGTAGACAACATTTTACATTATCAAAAATACAAAAATTAAAACAAACAAATCTGTTGCACACATGATACTGGTTGACATTACGACGATCTGAAATAGATGCAGACTTCTGAAATTTGTAGTGTTCTTCTCAGACTTTTGGGGCTGATGTCATGAAATGGCATGACATGGTCATGACATAATGGTGTTTTTTAGTGTTTTTAGCATAATATCTTACATTATATACTAACCAACATGATCTAAATATGTTTTAGGTGTTAGTTCGCAGCTTCTAAAATGCCTCAGTGCAATCTCTCGATAGCAGTTGTATGCTCAAGTAATATGAACAGAAGTATGGAGGCTCATGCATTCTTGAGGTGAGGCATTGAATCCGATATAAAGTACAGCCTGAATGTAGGGTAAAGAATCCACCTGCTTCCCCTCTTCACAGAATCAAAGAAACTATCATGGCTCTCAAGAAACGTTCAACAAGAAATTTGTTTTTTGCTGAATATTTGCAGGACAAATTTTAAGTATTTAAAAAAATGAAAATCCTGGTTCATAGACCATCAATTTGTTTGTTGTGACCCCTTTTTCTTGATTATTCTTATTTCCTATTACAAGTTTTTTTCTTAAGTTCTTTCTCTAGCCGTGTTTACACAAGGCCAGTTGGTAAGCAGGTTCCTTGCCTCAGGTAACTTGAAATACGGATTAGAGGCAAGTAACCTGCCTGCTCTTCTGGCCTCCTCTTGTAAACACGGCTCGCTAAACACTTATAAAATAGTCTTGGTCCAGATTTAATCATTTACACTTTAAGATCAGCTGCACAAGGTAGAAATTATTTCTATAATTAATCAGCTGTTTTTAAAATATTTTGTTACAACTATGCACAAAGTTTTTCCTAGCCTTAGAATGTTTGCTTCTGGCGGATTTCCAATAAGCTTACATAATGGGCTACTTTGCTGGTTTAATTTTAAAATAGTTGTACACTATTGTAAAATTAAGACGTTAAAGTAAAGTCAGTGATATTCATTTTGTGTCAAAATAAAACCACCTAGAGACATTTACATTTTTTTATTTGTTTCAGCAAAAAGGGGTTTCTAGTGAGGTCTTTTGGAACTGGAGATAAGGTGAAACTGCCAGGAACAGCACCAGATCGGCCTAATGTATACGAATTTAGCAGCACGTACGAAGAAATTTACCAGGACCTGCTGAATAAGGATAAATCCTTGTATCCTTAACTAAGTTGTTTTTAAATGTGTGTTGAAAGAGTTACAAAATTGTCAGATTTCTGAGTGTAAACATCAACAAATTTCCTCTAAAAATCTAGATTTACATTTTATTTAGTTCTTAGTTTTGCATGATTTTAGATTAAACTAAGCTAATTTCAATATTGCCTCTTCTTTTTGAATAGATAAGCAATTTAACACCATGAGACCGATCAGTATTTTTATTTTATGACACTTTTTATCTGTGATCTTAAAGATTTCTGGCCCTCTTTTCTTTCCTGTCACTCCTCACACTAAATTTCCCCTTTTTCTTGCTGGCAAGGCAACCCTCCTTATCAAATAATAATCCTTTTTTCCCCTTTTAATCACATTCATTTATGACATATTTTAGCCATAGGTACATTTTAGCCTCATTTTCAATGTCAGAAAAAATACTTTTAAATAAATCCTAATAATTATATGGAGACTGATATCTTCAAAGTAAAAACTTTGGAGGTTCGAGAAAAAATCACCAATATGTCCAAAGTCAATTTTTTAAATTTCAGTCCTTAACAAATATTCAGTTACACACAGAATGGCTTGTTACACATGTTAGACCGTAACAAGCGTATAAAGATTAGACCCGAGAGATTTCAACAATGCAAGGAGAAATTCGACATCATTGTAACATGCGAAGAAAGAGTCTACGACCAAGTCGTTGAATGTAAGTTAATAATTTGCTGTTGATCTATTGAACTGGTTTGTGTTTTTGTTGTAATATTTAAGAGTGCAGGAAAGTAAGTAAATGCAGGAATTAGCTACTCTGTGTGCTAAAAAGTGCAAAAAAGCCCAGTTTGTCAGGTAACCGTTGTAAAAGTGCATTTGCAGAATCAAAAGTAAATGCTTTTTGTTTGCTAACTTGCTCATTTGATGGTAAAAATATTAAAATATTTTGAACTTATTTCTGTGTTTTTTGTGTTGTTTCTGGACTAGTTATTTGACAAATTAAAAGGTTAAATTAAATTACCTGTTGTAATCTTAAGATCCATGTTTCATTCTTATTGGATTAAGCACATTTCAGCTCAAATTTAAAATGAAGTTGTCTATTTTAGTTTTAAAAAAACCCCGAACAGAAACAATTTTGGATTTTTTAAACTCCCTTGAACCTGCCTAAGTTACTAATTGTTACAATTTTGTCTGCAGACATAACTAACAGAATGCCTACAGAGAATGCATCAGTACATGTGATCAATGTAGACATTCAAGACAACCACGAGGAGGCGACAATAGGAGCGTTCTTGATATGTGAAATGATCACGCATGTAAGTCCTGTTCTCGATATAATCTTGCTCTTACAGAATCTTTTTTGGCACTACTATTTTGAAAAAAGTGCCACTTTTGCTCGTACTCCGTTTACAAAGGTGGTGGTTTGAGGGAAATCAATTCCATATTCTGCACCTTACCCTACCTTTGAAACAACAGCTGGACAGCTGTTAATTAGCTTAAACTGTCATCAGCTGTAACATACATAAAGAAATAAACGGTATCAGCATTCTGACACATACTTTCTCCCATAAGTTTGTCAACAACCTTTATCATGTGTAAGCGGTGAGAGTAAATATACTGAAATGGTATTTGTACAATTTTCTTCAGAATTTAAAGGAATATAACATACTAAAATTTTATCAAAATCGTTCGAGCCAATTTTGGGAAAATCTGATTTTCCGTTATTTTATGGGGTTTTTATGGGAAAATAACATAATTTACAATAACTTTTGAACCGTAATTTTTACAGAGATGGGATTTGTACCATTTTGTTCAGAATATAAAGGGCTACAACATACTAAATTTTTATCAAAATCGTTCAGGCCTATTTTGAGAAAATCAGATTTTTCCGGTTTTTTATGGGTTTTTATGGGAAAATCTCCATTAAAATCAAAATTTCAAAAAAATGAAAAAAACGCCTGGAGATACCATGGATTAGAACCTACATACCAAATTTCATCGAAATCGGACCACAGGTCTAGTCTCTAGCTCTGTACACATCCAGACACACAGGCACACGGACACACAGACACACACACACACACACACAGACATCACTTCGAAAACCACTTTTTTGGGTCCAGGGGGACCCAAAACGAATATATCCACTCAAAACTCAAACTCAAAAATTTTGACGAAAACAATACTTTCTCCATATACTATGGTATAGGGGGAGAAAGTAAAAAATGATGGGAAACTTCTAGCAAACCAACTATAGTTCAGCCGCTTAGAAAGCGACCTGCGCGCTAATGCTAACCAATGCTAGAGGAGGTCGCTTTCTAAGCGGCCGAACTATAGTTTTTTTTAACTATTGTTAGTCGCATGGATAAGTATTTAGTGCAAAAAAACTAATTTTGTCTAAATAACTTCTCTTCAACCTACTCTGATATATATTAGGACGAAAAATCAGTGTTATTTTTTTGTTTTGTGACTTTTTACTGTGTAAGTTATCTGTTAAGGTAAGCTAGCTGACCACTATCCCCTTAAAAACAAATCCTTTGTCATAATAATTTATTTTAACAAAACAACATGCTACGCGAGGGCAAAAATACTATGAAGACTGAACTACACCGAGCTTATAAAAGTATACCTATGGTGGCTTTTTTCTCTTCAGTAGACCAAAGACACTTTCTATAGTTTTTCTATAGTTCTAGTTCTATAGTTCTATAGTTTTTTTCTGTAGTTTTCTATTCTTTTTCCAGATGGCCAAAAGTGAGGACCTCGACAATGATATTGACGAAATGCTTCACCAATACGAGAGCAAATGTCAACGGCAACTACTTCACTGTGTTCTCTTCTACTGACTTTGATTCGCCGTCATTGATTGATTGCAAATATTACTGAGGCACAGGGAGATGGTTTACTTCAATTTTCTGTTTGGTCAATATTATATTTTTATAATTGTGTAGGTTTTATATTTGTATGAAATTCTATTATTGTGTTCATTAAATCATTATGATCAAATAAAGGAAATTTGGAATCAACAGGTTTTGTTACGAAGAAGTTTGGTTTTCTTTGTAGGCTCCATGAATGAATTAACAGTGCATATTTGAATTAGCTTGTGTTATTATTTAAGTTATTTTAACGCTGTCAATTTTATTATTATTATTTACTTTCACGAACTTTTCATATGAGTTGTTATTTATTTAATTGTAATAAGAAAGTGGTAAGCTTGTAAAATTTAAATAAAACTTATATGAGTTATTGTTATTTTCATCTCTTGTTTAATTTTGTTTGTTTTAGCAATATGAATAATAACGATGGTGTTTATTCACAAACTAAGCTCCTTTAAAAATCCTTAAACAGAAAAAAATATACTAAAAAAATAAAAAAAATATATTCACTAGTTTGATAGAAGTACCAGGGATAAAACATACTCCCACAGGTTTTTGTTTTTTTTTCTCCTATATTGTTTCTAAATTACAGTAAAACCCCTCATGTCCGATCTCGGCTTAACCGACTGTCTACTTGTTTCCTGTTTGAGGCCAATAATACCGAGCGTGTTCGGTTAACTGTAAAGTCAATCATGGATGTTGCCGTAACCATTAACCGAGGCAGATGATCACTGCAATACATGGTCACGAGTGTCGCTGTGGTGATGTAAGATAATTACTGGTGACACCGAGATTGCAAGATATTCTCCATCCGATATCCGACTTTTTGGCCGTTCCGACCAGGGCCTGGTCCCATCATGGTTGGATATGAGGGGTCCTAGTGTTTATTTGCCAAAAGAGGATCGACAGGAATTTAAACCTTGGAAATGTAATTCAATTTTCCTTCTCCCCCTGTACGTAGTATATATAAGTATTTTCTTTTAACATTTTTCAGTTTGAATTTTGGGTGGAATAATCTGATTTGGATCCACCTGACCTAAAAAAAGATTATGTAGTGGTGCTACACCTATGGTCCGATTTTGATATTTGTTATATGGGTACTATATGTAGTATCTCCAGGCACTTAAAAAAAATTATCTTCATTTTGGATGAGGATTTTCCTATAAAACCCGTACAGTTTTAATTTTATAAATGTGTTTTAACCCTTCCATCACCATTCTCTCTGTATTTATTTTTGTTTTTACCATTGTTCTACTTTCTCTTATTTTAAAGTTTTGCTTCCTAACAAATGATTTTTCCCCACCATTCTTATTTCCCACAATATTTAGCACTGGACAGCTGTCTACACAGAAAAATACCCAATTGTTAGCATTTTCTTTAATATTTCATTAAATTTTTTATCTTGGTTGGCTACATCCAAAGGCATTTTTCAAGCAGATACTTCCCGAATCATCATTTGGTAAATGTCAGTGGTTGTTTCTTGCTCCATGTTGGTCTTTTTTCACAAATACAGTAGAGTCAAGCAAACTCGGCACTCGATAACCAGGCAGTCTGGATAACTCGTCCATTACCTGGCTCAGAAAATTAGTGAATTTTTGAGTTTGTGTTAATCATGGACTATATACTATATATGTTGTACTATATCTGATGACTTAATACTGACTTGTAATATAAATATTAATAAGACAGAAGGTAAAAAAGCTTACAAACTGTATTGCTCTTATTTTTAACCCTAGTTCCCGATAACCCGGCATTTCACAAACTCGGCACCCTTCCAGTCCACATTACGCTGAGTTTGCGGGACTCTACTGTAAAAGCATTTGAATGTTGCCTTACTTCCCATAGCACAGCCCGTTTAGACCTCGTCAAATATTCGGCACTTGGCAAATGCTGTATGAGCGCCTCAATCTTAATATTGAGATAAATAGGTTAGCCAAGTAGTAGCAATTACTACGCTAAGAATATATTTTTTATTTTTACAGTAAAAAATACACATCATATATACAAAGACGTAAAAGTTAATTCACACATCTAGATGCCTATAAACTCTCCTCAACTTCTCTCTCTTGTTGCGTTTCTCTTTGTGGTTTTTCCAAGGTTTGTCCTCGGCTGAAGCAAGAGACATTGTGGAACCAGAGACGCTGACAACAAAGAAAAATAAGTTAAACTTCACTTACAATACAACAAATACATTTTTTTTTAATGGCTGTTCTAACAGTTCTTTAGGTCCTAAAACCAGAAAGAATAGGACAACTGATCAAGATTAGATTATACAAAGTAAAATTTATTTGCAAGTTTTTCATGTTGATAAATATTACGCAGAGGATACGCGTCCGGTAACCGGACGTGGATTAGGCGTCCGGCAGTTACTGTCATAACCTAACCTAACCAACCAAACTTCCTGATAGTGAAAAAAATTAAATGAAGGTCCAATTCTCTTCATAGCATAAAATTATAAATGCCAAAAATTCTAACAAAAGATGTACAGTTAAGAAGAAATTACATTCAAAGCAAAATCTGTGACAAAAAGTTAAAGTTACCGATGGGTTTCGAACCGGGGACCTCACGCTTATCAGTCGAGCACTCTATCCACTACACCACGAACACTGATGGATGAACATTGTATCATTAAGGTAATGGCGTTCCGGGACCCCCTACCGGACGCCTAATCCACGTCTGGTTACCGGACGCCTAATCCACGTCTGGTTACCGGACGCGTATCCTCTGTGTAAATATTAAGGGCCTTAACTTAACCCCAGGTCTGAATTCATGAAATTTCAAATGGGTCTTTCAATAATTTAAAATCTGTAGAGTGCATAACAAACCCCAAATCACATGGGAAAGTGGTATGCATCATCAAGTGTCATGTAATGAATACATGCTTAACATCTGAGATATTCTTAATTTCGACAAGCTTGGACATGTTGGATATCCGTTGCGAATGTGAAGTTTTAGCTTCTGATAGATAAGAATTTGTTTTAAAAGAAAACTGTAGATAAAGTCATTACCTTGAACCAGAACTGTTCCCCACTTTGCTGATGCCCTTGGTGTGAGCTCCCAAAGACGCTTGTTTGAAGAATGCCTTGTCAAGGTCCTCTCCAGACACTTTATTTACCTGAAAGTAGCACAATATTTCATACTTGATGTTTTTCAGTTTAAGTATTGTTTGTGTTGATAGGTTGTATGGAAACATATTAATAGGTAATTTATCTGTGGAAAAACAAATCAAAGAAACAGCGGTCAATTACGTTGTGGAGCTAGAAAATCTAATTTTGGAAAACTAGAGCATGAAAATATCTCTCCGCTACAAATAAGGAGACAAAGGACAGGATGAGCAGACTTAACCTTAAACATTGTAGGCATCTTACTTCACAAAAGCAACACAAAAAGAAAATTGAAAAAGGGGCCAGTGGCCTAAAAAATATTCAGTTTTTCCTTTGAGTTTTATTTAGTGAAGTGGCATTTCTACAATTTTTAAGCCTGCTTATCCTGTACTTTGTCTCCTCAACTCTCAGGCAATAAGTCCTTCCCAATCAAACTTAATATGCACTAAAAGGCATAAAAAAATGTAAGCAAAATAAGGGAAAAAAGGTTTCCAATTAATGATTAGTTAATAAAGCTTAAATCATGACACATTAATTGTTGATAGGATAAATAACAGCATAAGTGGTAAGGAGGGTGATGAACGTCATGCAGGAATTGGTTTGATTATTATTATCATTAAATTTGAATGCTAAAGAAGACATCCCATCTCTATGTGTCCCAGCTGTCACAAATTTTTTATTAAAAAACAACGTAGTTGAGTTTGCCAGATACAGATTGTGCTAGTGTCTATAGGTCTATTTTCTATCTTATTTGTTGTTACCGAGATAGTTGACGTGGCATAAAAGATGCTACAGCTTAAATAAGTCGTCCTATCAATTTTACTTGGTTAAAAAGTTTGCTTATGGAACAGATATCAGTTTACATTAACTAGGCCATTTTGATAAACAAATTGACAACGATTATAAAATGGGGATGGAACGCCTAGTTGTTTTAATAGTCAAAGGTATTATGGTTAAGACATGATAGACTGAATATATAAGTTAAATGACAAAATTGAAGAATACCGAGAGAACTGGGGACAACATCTTCAGAGAATGCCGGAGAGCAGGTTTCCACTGAAGATTTTTAATTACAGCCCTAGAGGGAAGAGAGATGTTGGAAGACCTCGGAAGGGATGGGAGTGAGGATATTTTTGTGAGATGGGAACAGGCCTAATCCTTGAAGGAAAGAAGAAGAAGAAGGTATTATGGTGTGAACAAAATACGTTCGAAATTAATTCTTATTTCATAAACTACAACTTGAATCATTCACACTATCACCATCAAGTCACTAAGAATCCCGACTAGAGTCAGCCATAAATTATCCATATTTGGCAACTAGACAAAATTTACTCTGTAATTACAACTAGACTAATTTCACTGTAGGTTAACTTACTCTGATGGCTCTATGGGCGGCCTGTGTGAGAGGGGCGATGTGTTTCTTCTTAGCCGCAGCAAACGTGTGATACTTCAGCTGATCCGTACCCGGAGGCGCTTGGCAGTACAACAACCGGCCGTTGAGAAAGTCTTTCAGAACGTAGCGAGCACTCCGGGGATTGTCTGGCTGGCCGTTCTGTGTCATAAAACCTCGTGAATCTGTTACAAAATACAGCTATTAGGACACCTTTGTTATATAGCACGTTAATCTTTTGTTATACAGCATCATTAATTGATAACCTAAATGAAAATGGAATCTGAGCATCTATCTTTGGTTGCCTTAAATTTGCAGGCAAGCACTAGAATGGTTGTGTTTATATGATTCTAGTTGAGAATTGTCAGTTACAATTCTTCTCTACAGTTAAATATTAACTAACTGGCATTTCTCTTTGACCTATTATCTGAACAAGTCCTTCATAAGAAAACAATACGGAGTTATGTTTTGTGACCTTTTACTATTAGCTCCTGGGCTCTAATTTCCTAAGTAAAACTAGCTAAACTCTGTAATATTTCTAAATAATTCCCAATCAGCCACTTTCTTTGTGTACCTTTTAAATTATTGTGATTCAAATTTAGTACTCAAACGTAAAAATAAAGAATAAAGATGGTAGACGCAACCAGGCAAAAACAGCTAACCTAGTTGTCCGATCTTCAGATTTTTCTTTCCTCTGGATGGATAAGACTTGCAAGACACTGACAAACCAGATTGAGAATTTAAACACAAAGTCAAGTAAAGTACGAGTATTGCTGACAGATCTACTCACAGCCGTAAGCGTTGAGTAACTCCTCCGCAGAAGGTGGCCGATCCTCATCCTCCCCCTCCAGAGGTTTGGGTATCATGAGACTGTAGTGTCCCTCTAGCACATGCCTGGGTATGAGTGAGCACAACATGTTGACTGGTGGTACGTGGTCCTACAAACAATACTTAAATTTTTTTACACATTACTTCACACTAAGCCTAGAGGGTTGCATCATTGTCACTAAGACAAAATCCATCGGGATTGTTAGGGGGCTAGTGGTCTAGTGGTAAAGGGCGGAGCTTTGGCCCCCGAGGTCCTGGGATAAATCCCAACAATCACCAACGGATTTTATCTAAGTGATAATTTGCCCCTCTAACGTGAAGTAATTTAGGAAATCATCCCAGGCTAGAATCTAGAGGAAAAATTTAAATATTTGAACCCAGGATCTCAGGGTCCTAAGTCTAACGCCCTAACACTAGACCAAATCGCTACACTGATGCTACTTACAGTGGACACATATTCTAATGAAATGTACGCTAGTCATTATTCCAATCAGAGTAATTTTGTTGAAAATCAATGGTGTAAAAAGTTTACAAATTCAACTCAAGCCTACTCTACCAGAAGTACGATGATGAATGCTTATCATAGCTCCCAATTTTCCACAGTAAAGAGTGACCAAGTAAAAATAATTAAACTAAAAAAAAACCACAAAACAATAAACATTCAACTAGGCAATTGAAAATTTGCTTAGAAAGTTTGCTGTAGGGGGTTTTTACCTTCATTTGGTCGACAGGTAATATCCCACTGAGCACCATCTCGGCTTTTGTTGTGACGAAACTAGGCATCACCAGTCCTGGGCAGTCACACAGCATAAGCTCTGCATCCACATACAGCGTCTGAAATTATTCATGACAATTAGATGTCAACTTCTAAAAACTTTTTGAAATTAGTCAACATTCCAATTATTTCTTAAGGATTGTCGTAGAGATAAGTAGACTTGTCTGAGTGGAAAATAATCCATCCTGGTAAAAAAATGTAAAAACTATACTGTCACTGTCACAAGATAGTTAATATAATATTAAACTGTCTCTGACAGAATTTCATTTCAACCAAGAAAGGTTTGCGTTGACTAGAAACAAAGCTTCCTAGATTGCCCTAAAATAATGTTAAAATCCTTACCTGAAAGTGTTTCGTCTTGCCAGGCGTAGCGGACACAGACACCTTCTTGTTTTGCAAAATGGAGTTGATGGTGGAACTCTTCCCAACGTTGGGGTATCCGACCAGACCGATCGTGGTGACGTGTTCCATTACACGAGGAGCATCTTGTGGCAACAGCTGTTTGAACATCGCTATCAACTCGTCTCTACCGAGCAGCTTCGAAGAGTTCTTACCTTTTGACAGCGTGAACAAAATAATTAAGAAAATATTCTTTGACATATTCATGGAACATAGAACAAGCGTAATAAGTTGGTTTCAAAGTTACTTGTATGTTTCTTTTTACAAAAATTGATCCTACAAGTTATATTTGGGAAAATTTGATTTCAGTGTAAGAGTGCATTGCCTATTTTTATTCCCCTGATACAATCTGGAACAATTACTTTACAAGTGACAATTGATTCAAGCCTTAACAAAATAATTATATTATGGAAAAAGAACAAAAAAGTTGAGCCTACCTTCATACACTGAACTTTCATCTTCTCCAATTATTTCTTCCTCATCAGCCGTTTCATATTCGCTGTCGTTCTCATTCACTGGTTCATCAAACTCATCCTGGAAATTTTTTTTATATTAACACGGATCATACTATAGGAAACCTACAAAGGGTGAAAGAATATTCAACATATACTGAACAGCACTTATAAATCTGAAAGATAAAAGCCGTGTTTGAACAAAATTATCTTTGCACTCTCTGTAACCTTTAGGAAAACAAAACTGTACATCACTTTATAGCTATATACCCTATTTTAAAACAAATCAGACGACTCTGGTTTGGGAAAAATATTTTTAATGAAACAGAATACTGGTATGTCTACTTTTAAATGGGGAAATTGACGTGCTTTAGCCCATTGTTTAAGCAGGCCTAGTGCTAGGGAAAATAGGTGGGACATCATAAATTATTCAATCTCAAACTTTATTCTTTTTTCATGAAATTCACAATTAAAAATCATGAGACTCACCTGAATATATGTACATATAATAGATATTATTTTAATTAAAATTATATTGCTTTCATACCGTATTTGAATTGTTTTTAAGCGTGTGTTTGGTGATTCGGTGGCTCAGTCCACCACGGACTTCGGGCCCAAGGCAGTGATAACGCGGGTTCTGATCCTGGTACCGGTACCTGCCACTACTTTTTAACAGTACAGTTCACCCTTGTACTGTACCGGCTCACCCTTTGCTTTACTGGATATATTACTCACACAGGTCCATAACCAGATGTACCTCACAACCTAACAGGCTGAAAAAATTTACATGACATTGATTGTTGATTTGCTACACTGTAATAGCCTACTCCTGTTTAGTCAGTTTTAAATTTACAGTATGTATCAAAATTCTGTGATTTTTCAAACTCACCTCACTTTCACTCTCAGGTTGTTCCGGGATAGTGTCTTCGGCTGCCAAAGTAGCCGAGAAGAACGCAACTCTTGTCTGACAGTTGTCGAAATGTCTCGCCCAGGCACGCCGCTGGGCTCGCGTCAGGAAGTCAGCTTTGTTTAGGATCAACAGGTTTAACTTTCTCGGGTCAACTTCCTTCACATAACGCTCAAGATCTTCACATTGAAAGAGAAGCGGATTACGAGCGTCAAGGATTTGAGCCACTACATCACTGTGAAGATTGCTTGAATTAATCTCATATATTTGTAGAACGGCTTCTATACATGACACAGTGTATAATCATTTGTAAAAGGGTAAACATACATAATCAATGTTTATTACATTTACTACTAACCAATGTAGGGCCTATGTAAATAAATTAGCCTATGTTTAGAGCATTCCCAATGTCATTTTCATGCAGAAGAATTTAGGTTGCTTTACCATCAAATAGGCTATAGTTTTATACTGTTTTTTTTTTTATATGAAATAAATTCAAATAATTTAAAATTTTAAAGTTTTACATAGGATTGCTTTACCAATATCTTTTTAATTTTGAGTAAAGTAAAATTTTGCTTCAACAAACCCCAACCTATCTACCTGAGGTAGGTAAACTTTGTTTTCAATTCCCTTTAAAACACATGTAGGCCTAACTCAATGCACAACTGATCTCTACAAAGAAGAAAGAAAAAATACCCCTGCCGCAGCAATCCTGCAGACTAAGCGAATTTCAACTTGTCTGATTACATTTTTACTAAAATATTTCCATAAATAAGACATATTATTCCCTATTTAAATAACATTAGATTTAACAAGTGCTTCTAGGTTTGCTGCTACGGGGAAGGTAAAAAGTGTTTTTTGACCATACATCAATAGTATAGGATGAAATAAATAAATTTGCCAAATTTTATCAATATATACCCATAAAGAAGTAAACTACAACAATTTTCATTTTCTCCATAAGAATAACATGGGAATTTTTAATTACACTATTTTTGAATTTTCTCCGTGACCGTCAGGCATACAACAGCGCTTCAATATACAAAATTATTTATTTTTTTAAGCTCTACAAAACGTTTTAGAAAGAAATCGCAAATTTTTTTGTTTTTAGGTTCAAAAATGGGAAAACCCCATTTTTACCCCATAAAACCCCCCATAATCCCCCGTTCCCATGGTCTGATTATGCTGGATCGCAAACTCGTTCGAATAAACGTAGGTTTACACGTTTGTACCAAATTTCATCAAAATCTGATGATTTTTGCTCGAGTTATCGCGCTAACGGACACATATATATATATATATATAAATATATATATATATATATGAATTTGAACGGATGGTGTTTTTGGCCTCTAGGGACCGCAAAATGAAAAATTAGATCGGTCTCGGGTCCAGGTCTTACCATGAGTACTACGGTAATAGCTTATTCCCTATATGGGAAATTCGCTAAAAACAACATAATGTGTCCCCTTACTCAAAACATTCATAGCCTATAGGCCCTAGTACATAATTAATTTACCCCTGCATTTAAACGTTTGCTTCCGCAATAGTAACAAATTTTTCATTCATATAGGGCCGGTTTCTACCCACAGACTGCTGTCCCATATATAAGACGGCTAGGCACATTAAAATAGACTGACGACGCATATTTTTGTCGGTGTTGCAATTTTATCAAAAGGCTTATATCTTTGTAACGGTCTATTTGAAGGCACTGAATTCTCTGCAGCGGTCTACAGGTATGTCTGACGCACAACTGCGTTGCTTGGTCTGTGGATATGATTGTTAATGACGTCATATGATAGTTGGAAAAACTGGTCTTTACTTTTCTGCATCACTCTATTATGCAGTATGTATGCTGCATTATCCTATGTAGCTTTTAAATATTTGTTCAATTATAAACTGTTCTTAATCATCTGTTTTTTTTTTTTACTTACTTTCATCTCAAAACATAATAAAAATGAACTGTCGCATATATGTGGCGTTTGGGCTATTTCAAGAAAAGTATAATAATTTTCACTATTGTCTTCATTATTATAATATGCGACATTACAAAAGGTTATCAAAAATATTAAATACCCCCGCCGCAGCAAACCTGCAGACTAAGCGAATTTCAACTCGTCTGATTACATTTTTACTAAAATATTTCCATAAATAAGACATATTATTCCCTATTTAAATAACATTAGATTTAACGAGTGCTTAGGTTTGCTGCTACGGGGAAGGTAAAAAGTGTTTTTTGACCATACGTCAATAGTATAGGATGAAATAAATAAATTTGCCAAATTTTATCAATATATACCCATAAACAAGTAAACTACAACAATTTTCATTTTCTCCATAAGAATAACATGGGAATTTTCAATTACACTATTTTTGAATTTTCTCCGTGACCGTTAGGCATACAACAGCGCTTCAATATACTAAATTATTTCTTTTTTTAAGCTCTACAAAATGGTTTAGAAAGAAATCGCAAAATTTTTTGTTTTTAGGTTCAAAAATGGGAAAAACCCATTTTTACCCCATAAAACCCCCCATAATCCCCCGTTCCCATGGTCCGATTATGCTGGATCGCGAACTCGTTCGAATAAACGTAAGTTTACACGTTTGTACCAAATTTCATCAAAATCGGATCATTTTTGCTCGAGTTATCGCGCTAACGGACACATATATATATATATATATATAAATATATATATCTTACTAATATTATAAATGTGAAAGTTTAGATGTATGGATGTATGGATGGATGGATGTATGTTTGTGACAAGTGAACGCAAAAAATACTGGTCGGATCGGGCTGAAATTCGGCATGATGATAGATCATATTCCCGATTAACATATAGGCATATTTTTATCCCAAAAATCCTTCCGGGCTCCGCCCCAGTGGCTCTGGAGTTTCCCATGTTAACCTTATGAGAAATGGAATTAATGAATCTTAACAGCTGTTTCAATTAAACAAGTTGGTTCTGTTCTATGATGTTCAATAGCATTAAAGTTACAAGGATTACCAACAGGGTGCAGCACTAATATTTCTTTTACATTTATGACAACAGCTAATTTGCAACCAAAAGGTGAGTGAGCGTATTGAACGAACTTCAACCTGGAGGCGAGTGAGCGTAGCGAACGAGCTAACCTGAAGGCAAGTGAGCGTAGCGAACGAGCTAACCTGAAGGAAAGGGAGCGCAGCGAACGAGCTCCAACCTAAAGGTGAGTGAGCGTAGCGAACGAACTTCAACCAGGACGTGATTGAGCCATGCAAACGAGATCATCTTGAAAATTAAGAAGTTAAACGGGGCAAAGCCCGCGGGTTACAGCTAGTAAATATATATATAAATATATATATAAATATATATATATATATATGAATTTGAACGGATGGTGTTTTTGGCCTCTAGGGACCTCAAAATGAAAAATTAAATCTGTCTCGGGTCCAGGTCTTACCATGAGTACTACGGTAATAGCTTATTCCCTATATGGGAAATTCGCTAAAAAAGATTATATTATTTACATACACGATTGCAGTGTATTACAAAGTAAATTATCGCTGTTTAACAGGTTTTTGCCCGTGGTCTGTTTGTACTGTTAACCAAGTGACAGCCGGCCTAAGTGTAAGATTAAATTGTATACCTCGGTCCGTGGCAATGATCGTGGTGTCGCATATATGCGATGCTCGGTAGCAAACGTGATAAAAACATAACCTCTACATAACAAATTCCTAATTCAACCTTCTTTAAACCATTCTCGTGACTGACAATAATATCCCCATGTGATCAATATCTTCTTCGACAATTAAACCTCGACTTTTTTTACCTTCTTTCAACAACCCTCCAGAGCTGACGCCAAAAGTCCAGGTTTTTCTCATATGGAGTGAGCAACAAGTCTTCCGTTTCTTGCAGAGTTGCTAGTCTACGCCTCCATTCAAGAAACTCTGTCTTCTCATTGGTCTGAAGTTCTTCTGGGGTCATATTTGAGTCCCACTTGGGCCTAAAAAGTAAAAAAATAAGTTAAAGGTATCATCACATAATTCTTGCTTGGTAGTATACAAAGTAAAATTGGGGTGAAAAAAAGCCTCTGGGATTCCTTGGTCCTCTAGGCTACTTAAAGTAGACTGAATATATAGAGAAAGTTAACACTACAATTTGGTCTTCAGGGTCTGACAGCGTCACAGACAAAACATAACAAAAGTCAGATTTTCCAACCTCCTTACAGTTTGCCATCATCAGAAGAGTAAATGGAACAGGTGACAGGACCTACTACTGATGTAGGCCCCAAGCACAGAGATGCAGACAAACCTCAACGAGGTTGGACACAACTAGAATGTTCCAAGGCGATTTGGTCTCATTGTTTACAATACATCGGCATTTTAGATTATTTACCATGGGTGTACAAATGTTACTAATTTCTAAACTTGAGTCTGATCAAATTGTCTGCATATATAAAATTTTAGAGGCACCCCAATAAATACCGGTAATGTAAAATGTCAATGTACTGGGAGATATGCCACAACACCGAGGACAACAAGACCACCTCACCTCAGAGATTTCTGGTCGGTTACAAAATATGGATAGGCTAGTGAAAAACGATTTACAGTCTTTAATATCAGTTTTTTCTTGTAGTCATGTTTGTACTAAGTTTCAAAAACTTGTAAAACTTGGGGTTGTGAGCTGTGTTGATTAGGCCTACTTATGAACTGACTCATTACACTTGTTATTATTTTTTTTTATCTCTAACATCAAACCTAAAACTTTTTCTTTGAAAACATTGAGCCATGGTTAATCTGTTGGTATTCAATATAAAAAATACCCCCGCCGCAGCAAACCTGCCGTCTAAGCGAATTTCCATTTGGCCGAATTGATTTTCAATTGATCTATTTAAATAACATTAGGTTTAACGAGTACCTAGGTTTGCTGCTACAAGGAAACTAATAAAGTAGTGTGTTTTTAGTAAAATATTGATAGCTTACTATAAAATAAATAAATTTGCCAAGTTTGATCAAAATATATCCATAAACAAGCAAACTACAACATTTTACAATATTCTCCATAAGAATAACATGGGAATTTTAAATTTACAATTTTTTTAGTTTTATCCGTAACCAATAACCGTACAAAAACACTTTGATATACTGAATTTTTTGTTTTTTTAAGCTCTTTAAGAAGGTTTAGAGAAAAATTAGGAAATTTTGTGTTTTGAGGGTAAAAAGTGAGAAAAACCAATTTTTACCCCATAAAACCCCCCATAAAACCCTGTTCCCATGGTCCGATCATGCTGGATCGCGAACTCATTCAAGTTTATCCCGCCTTACACCTTCAAACCAAATTTCATCAAAATCGGATAAAAATTACTCAAGTTATCGTGTTCACGGACACATATATATATATATAAATCTATATATATATATATATACCTATATATATATATATATATATATACATATATAAAAATTTGAACGAATGGTGTTTTTGGCCTCTGGGGACATTAAAATGAAAAAGTAAATCGGTCCCGGGCCTAAGTCTTACCATGAGACCTACGGTAATAGCTACTTCCCTATAGGGAAATTCGCTAAAAGCTTAACATTCGAAGCTTCGCACACTCGTCTCATTATTTTAGGAATATCAAACACTTTATACCAATTTACCTTCGAGGAATTTTCAACATGTTCTTTAAATCTGAATGTTTCTTTTCCACTTTCTTCTTCTCGTCAACAGAAAGCAGTCCAATCCCAACAGCTGGATTTACAAACTTAATATTCAGTTTTTCTGCCTGAAAAACAAATTAATTTCATCATTGAATTATAAAATACTTAATGCTAAATGCATTCAAATCATAAAATATTTTCAGATATGCTAAGATAAAATTAAGAAATTACGTTTTATGTTTTTGGGAGTTTGTTTTAAGTTATGGGTTCCAAGTAGGCCTAAGTTAAATGATTGCATGTATATTGCCAAGCATATTCAAACAATTAATAATAAGGAATACCCTAGGGTAAGGTTAAATTTTCATTTAGGTATAAAATATTCCAAATTCAGTGTTAGTTTCTAGCGTATAGGCCTAGTAGGTACCTAACATTTAAAAAACTACACTTAAGTGTAGTTGGTTAACAGACCGAAACAAGTTGATAAAAGAAGCAGTTGTATAATGTAGCGTAAAATGATTATTAAGTTAATTAAGGAGATTAAGTTATTAAAAGAGAGTAACTCCACCTGAAACTCTGTGCCTGCCAATTCAGCTGTTGATAGAAACTCTTGAAAAGAACTTTCCTCCGTCACAGACTGCAGATTTAGCCGGCCCCAGTCATATCCGTCATTGAGCTCTGAAGTGTGCAACTGTCAAAAACACAAGTAACTTAAGTAAATAGCGTTGTTATACATAAAATCAAAATCATAATTTTGAAACGATATTACTTGTAAAAATAACGATGCTGAGCCTAAATTACTTGTAATAACTTACTTATTATTAGCTCAAATAGGGGGTACACTTCCATATCTGTTGGCACAAACAACGGAATGAGTAATATCGATCAATATATCGAATTGAACAATCGAATAATCAATATTACTCATTCAGTTGTTTGTGCCAACAGATATGGAAGTGTACCCTAAATAGGCCTAGGCTACTTACGGTACGTAGTACAGTAGAGTCCCGCAAACTCGGCGTAATGTGGACTGGAAGGGTGCCAAGTTTGTAAAATGCCAGGTTATCGGGAAATAGGGTTAAAAATAAGGACAATAAAATTTTTAAGCTTTTTAACCTTCCTTTTTTTATATTACAAGTCAGTATTAAGTCATCATATATAGTACAAAAAATCCTTGGTACCTTTTATTTGAGCTGGCTTGAGTCCATGTTTAACACTTAAAGTGCCGTTGACATGTTTGAACATGAAAATTGCATTTATTTCAATGCTAAGCAATGGCGGGAATTCCCGTCATCAGCACCCAACGTGTTAACTTGGACTCAAAATATTACTAATTTTCTGAGCCAGGTGATAACCGAGTTATCCAGACTGCCGGGTTATCGAGTGCCGAGTTTGTGGGACTCTACTGTATACCGATAAGTTAAATTTACTTCCAAATTAAATTGTGGACCTATTTAGTTTAAATAAGAAAATCTTCCTAACCTAACCTAAAACATAGTCCACCCTTAGGTTAAGTAAGGTTATAATTATTATGTGTAGTCAGTATAGTAAGTAACAAATAATTTATTCAAAGCTGATCATAGTAACTTACCTAGGCCTAAGGATTAAACATTAAAATGTTGCGGTTCATGGGAAGGTAATAATACCCCCGCCGCAGCAAACCTGCCGACTAAGCGAATTTCCATTTGTCCGAATTGATTTTCAGTTAAATATATTTTAATAACATTAGGTTTAACGAGTACCTAGGTTTGCTGCTACAAGGAAACTAATTAAGTGTGTTTTTGAGTAAAATATTGATAGCTTAGTACAAAATAAATAATTTTGCCAAGTTTGATCGAAATATATCCATAAACAAGCAAACTACAACATTTGACAATATTCTCCATAACAATAAAATGGCCGGGAATTTTAAATTTAGAATTTTTTCAATTTTCTCTGTTACTAATAATCGAACAAAAATACTTTTATATACTAAATTATTTGTTTTTTTAAGCTCTTTAAAAAGGTCTAAAGAGAAATCGGGAAATTTTGTGTTTTGAGGGTCAAAAGGGAGAAAAACCAATTTTTACCCCATAAAACCCCCCGTAAAGCCCCGTTCCCATGGTCCGATCGTGCTGGTTCGCGAACTCATTCAAGTTTATCCCGCTTTACACCTTTAAACCAAATTTCATCAAAATCGGACAAAAATTACTCAAGTTATCGCGTTCACGGACGTATATATATATATATATATATATAAGTCTATATATATATACATATATAAAAATTTGAACGAATGGTGTTTTTGGCCTCTGGGGACATCAAAATGAAAAAGTAAATCGGTCCCGGGTCTAGGTCTTACCGTGCCTCCTACGGTAATAGCTACTTCCCTATAGGGAAATTCGCTAATAACAGACTACCAAGAACTGTTAGCATTAATGGGTACAGTTTTTTAACTGGGCTATGCACCACGATCCATAAAAAAATACTAAAAGAAACACAACTATACATCAATTGTAACAATACTTACCATTGATGAATTGTGATTTTTATGTCTTGAGCCAAACCTATCCCTAATTAGAGATCTACCTAAAGAACCATCGTTTTGTTTTTTCTTTCCCATTGCAAGTGTGTTTTTAAATTACTTGTATCAATCACGAATTTCTTTATCCTTAATGATAATATTTTGATTGCTTAGTCAAAACTGAAAAACTGAACCTAAAAACGCAGACATAAAAGACTGACAACTAAATGAACCTCTGCTCTGACTGACAATGACAAACATGTGCCGTGCTGCTTCTCTCTCTTCTGCTTCTGCTTTCTGCTGTGCTGACTGCTGAGTGACTTTTTTTTCTGCTGAATCAGATGATGTAGATAAAAACAATAAAGTCAAGAGAAGATGAGCAGCATTGATCATTGACTATTGAACATTTCCGTGATGCATTTACGCATTGGTTAAACATTAATATTATCCTTAAACTGGAATATTGTGTTATTGCCTTCATTTTTTATACTACATGATATATCCGTATTTGTTGATTCTATATTAAGCCCAGCTACTTTCCTTAACCATTGTTTATTCTCAATTAGGGAAACATGGGATCCGACGTAATGTGTACTACAAGCAAACGGTTTTAGTTTTTAATGGCAAATAATAACTAGGATTGCTTTCATAGCAGTGAAAGCCAGTTGAGCGGAGCAATCATGTTTAATGGTTTTTTAAAGCAATCAATGAAAACAAATGTTTATACATATGCATATGATACAAAATACAAATGTTCCCACACTCAGAACTGATATCCTTTACGACTTCCTCCACCACTTCCTACGTCACGTCGTGAACTTGTTTCCCTCCCTTCCCATGGCATTTTCGGATTGTCAATACATTAATCTAACTGTCCCAAAGCGCGTTCCCACACTCAGCAAATTTAGCCTTTACTACTTCCTTCACCACTTCCTACGTCGTGGACCTGTTTCCCTCCCTTCCTAGAGCATTTTAAGATTGTAGATACATTAATCTAGCTGCCACAGACGGTTCCCACACACCGCACTGCTGGCCTTTATTTACTACCTGATTCGTCACCACTTTCCTACGTAGTGGACCTGTTTCCCTCCCTTCCCATTGCATTTTAATATTTTAGATACATAACTGCTCCAAAGCGTGCCCATACTCTGCACTTTTCGCCTTTACTTCTTCCTTCGCCACTTCCTACATCGAGGACCTGATTAAGTTTATTGCCATATGTATGAGATGGTTTCATGAATGTGATTCACCGAAGATTTTTTTTTTTAGATAAAATGTGTTCCTAAGCATTTGTCACATCTCCTTTCTTAAAATTCTTTAAAATACATAGATTTTCCTCACTAATGTTAGTAGCCGTTTTGTAACAAGTGTTGTCTGACATTTAATTTGATCTTTCCGGTTTCTTATCCAAGTCCGGTGGGCGCGGTGGTCTCCATGCGATGCAGATGTGTGGCTTTTGAAATGTTTAACAAAGTTTATAGTTTGTCCAAAGTAAAAGCTATAGTAATTACAATTTAATTTTTAAATACGCGATAATTGTAGAATGAATTACAATCTTCTATCTGTGGATGCAGTATTTTATTTAAGGGTTTCTGACTTTAGAAGGCTATTTAATTTATTCTCCATATATATTTTTCTCCAATTCGTTAGAAATACTTTGTGTAAAAGTTTCCGTGCAACTAAATGGAACACATATAGTGTTTCCTCTTTTAGTTCTCCTAACCTTATTTTGTCTTGCTGTGTAGATTTTTCTGGTTATCGATTATGGTGCACCAAAAAATGTTGGCTCAAAAAAGCTAAATTCTTCCTCTAGTGTTGTGAAAAGAATTTTGCCAGAACATCCACATAAAATAACACAATGCTTATCAAAGCAGGTTATAAAACATACCAGGGAATTAAGCTCTTTTGGGGGACAATCATTAGTAAACTGTAAACGTTTTTGCTCAAACCATAGGTCTAATTTTATCAAAACCAGCATTAATAAGTTATAACTTTTATGTGACATATCCTAATGCAATTTTTTTTAAATACTGGTAATCATATAAAAATATGATTCCCTATGTTACTAAGGAGTGTGATTTGTTTGCTTGGCACTAAAATAAATAAATGTCAGCATAAGCATAGTCCCAAAAATACTTTCATTTATGTACCTATTTCAGACACGATAAGGTTAGTACTGTCCAACATCTTTGCATAAACATTGTTTTTGACAATATTTTATTTACAGTTTATATAAATATTAATAATTAACAGTTTGTTAATTAAAACCAGTTAGTTGAAAGTGTTTGTTTCAATTCTAAGTTAACTGTGTAAATTAGTCGCTTGTTTAAATTCTAAGTTCTAAGTTAAATTTTAAATTCTTGTTTACATTTGCATAAGATAAATATTATTATTTGAAAATATTTATTCTACCGAATGTTCGCTAACATTGGGGTATTAAGTTGTGGTGAAAGAGAGCCAAGTATAGTAATCAGTATATTTTTGTTCAGAACTATTGTTTCCCAATGTCGTAATCTTCTGTGTAATCTTAGCTCAATACAACTGTATTTTTTGTATTTTGGAATTTGCTAGTGAACTGTAAATGGCTTGCAATAAACATAATATACTAGAGGTTGTCCAGAGGCTGAAGACTCGACCAAAAATATACAGGGTGAGTTTTAATTGTCCCCCCCCCAACTTTTTTCTACATTTTTTCAAATATCAATCCCAGACCACTTCCAAACATTGTTGGGTAGTAAGTACTTCATTTTGACAAGGTGGTCATTTCCGGCCGCCATCATGGATGCAATATTTTTTTTTAATTGTTAAGGTGGGGTTGTGACCCATTATTTTGAACTAGATTTTCACCCTGATTACAATGCCGCAAACACTTTTCAAAAATCTTGATCCATTCCAAAGTTATGAGGGCTTTTTAAAACTTTATTTTTAGCCCATTTTAACATTGTGCATTTACAAACTAAGACCATAATCTCAAAATAGTGCTAGATAAAGATAAGTATACACTACCAGTCATTGTCGACCTATTTTCACTTGTTTACTGAATTGTTCACAATTGGATTACTGAATGCAGGTATTTAAACCATTATAAATATTCAAACGTAATCCGGAGGCTAACAACTCTTAGAAATGATATTTTCACTTGGTTATGACAGATGTATTTTTTCGGTCGCCATCTTGGATCCGCCATTTTGAAATGTAATAAATTATTTTAAATATGAAGGGGGTGTCCCCATCATGTGGGGATAACCATAATATGGGGGGGGGGGAACCCATCATGTGGGGATAACCATAATATGGGGGGGGGGAACCCATCATTTCGAATCAATTTTTTAAGCTGAACTCAATTCCATGATCCGTTTTTCATTGTCATATTTTGATTTTAAAATATTGACATTTAAAAAAATTGCAATATTTCATAAATAAAACTTGATAACAAAAAATGATTTGCGGCATTGAGTTAAGCTTAAAAAAGTAGTTCGAAATGATGGGTCACAACACTTCTTTATATTTGAAATAATTTATCACATTTCAAAATGGCGGAACCAAAGATGGCGGCTGAAAAAAATACATCTGTCATAACCAAGTGAAAATAGGTCGACAATGACTGGTAGTGTATACTTATCTTTATCTAGCACTATTTTGAGATTATGGTCTTAGCTTGTAAATGCACAATGATAAAATGGGCTAAAAATAAAGTTTTAAAATTCCCTCATAACTTTGTTGGAATGGATTAATATTTTTTTTAACGGTTAGGGTAAAAATCTAGTTCGGAATAATGTGTCACATGCCCACCTTTACATTTGATAAAAATATTTTGCATCCAATATAGCGGATCTAAGATGGCGGCCGGAAATGACCGCCTTGTCAAAATGAAGTACTTACTATGTTTGGAAGTGGTCTGGGATTGATATTTGAAGTAATGTAGAAAAAAGTTGGAGGGGGGGGTAATTAAAACTCACCCTGTATAATGTGTGCTTAAAAAATTACATCAAAACTGACAAAGTTTGTGTAAAAAAGCTGAAAACCATACGCTGTAATAACCATAAAGCTGTAGACGACGTAAAAACTTCATCTGTTTCTAAACTTGGAGGAAATAACCAGCCTAACAGTATACCTGCGTTAACTGTTAATGGCGAAAAAGTAATGCTTTACAGTATTTAGGAATTATAGAAATATTACAGGAATATTTATTTAAAAAGAAGGTGGGGACTGCAGTAAAAAACGCTATCGGAGAAGATTTTTCTGTGGGTGTGCGTAATCGTTACTCTAAATGGTGTTGCATGCTATTGATAATAATACATTAGTTCAATAGGTGAAGGTAATTGTAAATTATCTATTGCATACACCCACGTTTTTCGTTTTAAATCTTACAAGTATTTATACTCTCCACATATTTATAAATTATTTTCTATTTTGTAGTAGTGCATTTAAAAACGTTTTGTTTTAAAAAGGTTTTTTCTGTTTATATTTTGTTGTTATTTTGTCACCAGCAAGGGGGTTGCCTATGTTAATTGTTTTTAAATTTAAACAAATGATGTTTTTGGCCGAATCCTATACTAATGGCATTAACAAAATAAATTGTTTAGACTGTTCCATCTGCAATGTTAATTAATGTTCATTTTCATTTTCGGGCCAAAAACGTCATTCGTTTATGTTTATGATCCATACCTGTTCTTTTTAAGTATTCGGGGTTTTAGACAACTGATCTTGTTTAGACAAAAATAATATACGCGTATATATGGATTTAAAAAATGAAACTCTTAATAACCTAACATACTAACCAAACTTGCTGTAGGCCTACCATTTCAAAATTACGTTTGATAACAGAAAAGGCATGTGGGAAATATCAAATGGAATTTTGAAATCTTACAGCAAGTTTGGTTGGTTATGTTATTAGAGCAGTTTCATTTCAATATAGTTTTTAAAATTTGTTTTTTGATAGTGTACAATATTAATTTATTGTAGTTGTCATGTCAGCTGTTATGTTTCAATTTGTTAATATCGATATATTAGATAAAAAAATAAAATATTAATATAATACCCCCGCCGCAGCAAACCTGCCGACTAAGCGAATTTCCATTTGTATTAATTGATTTTCAATTAAATATATTTTAATAACATTAGGTTTAACGAGTACCTAGGTTTGCTGCTACAATGAAACTAATAAAGTGTGTTTTTTGTAAAATATTGATAGCTTAGTACAAAATAAATAAATTTGATCAAAATACAAAATATATCCATAAACAAGCAAACTACA